GTATGCTGTGCACATATATTCTGACAGCTACATTTTTTTTCTTTCTTTAAAGTAAATACATACCTAAACTACGTTCACGAACAACGTCTACAAAGATACAACCGAGTATAATAAAAAGCAACCCGGCAAAATAAAACTGCGAAATTTCTTTACTTAATGACTACACTGACTACAGTGACTACACTGACAAAGTGAAGAATAATTCAACTATATAATGTTATAGTTAATGGGTATCAGAGCCCATATAACAACGTGTATGTCGCCTTCCACTTTGACATGATTTTGAAGTATATATTTTACTGCATAAAGCTATTCCCACCTTTCAAACCGTAACGCACATTTTCTTCACGGCTGAAACAAGCTACCCATGGGAGCTTACAGTACGCCCTACCAAATTAGTTAAAATTTCCCGAATTATTGGTGAAGTAAAGGTTTAATTTTTTATAACCCAACTTTAATTCTTCCTTTTGAAGGTCGTTTGTTAACAAGTGTCCTCCAAGCGTCTTTGTCCTCAGAATTAGTAGTAATGACCTCTGTACAAAATCTTATCACTGACTGAATTGTTTCGCTTATCTATGTCCTGTGAGTTGCAGACAGTGGCACACACACGCTAGGGTTCAGTGTCCTAAGTCTACGTCCTACGACGACTTAGCTTGAAATGTATAGTTTCTCTAAAAACCCCTTAGATAAATCAGAAGTATTAGAAAACCCTACGAAGAAAAACGGAAGATAACTGTATATGGAATTGTTGGTACAGTATATTTTCCATGGTATACAGAGACTTTACACCAGCACCACATTTTGTGCACGTTGCTCCGCAGCCGATCCGCCTTCTATAAGGTTCAATTTTCCAACCTGTGTAGAAAATTCTAAGCACAAGTGTTCATAATTTAAAAAAAAATACGAAAATGTGATGTCAATGGACTCAGACGACCACTTAATATGCACCATGTGTATCGTGAACTCGTCTAGTTATCGAGAACAAACAAAATGGTTTTGGTGCCTTTCTACGGCTAGCCTTCCGGTTTTTTCTTCGTATCACAATTAATTCTATTTCGTTCAGACGACAAGAGAAAGTAAATCGTCTGAACGGTTGTTGTTCGACGGCCTGTCATCGAATTAAAGATATTAATTAGCTTTTTCGACTAGCTCACGCGGGCAGACGACGATCTCATGGTTCGCATTAAGTGGTTACCGTAGACATACTGTAGACAGTACATAGAGAACTGAAATCCCGCAGCCTTTTCAGAGCCATAAGATTTTCTATTTCAATTTTTCTTTAGGTACCGCTAAAAAATACGCGTTCGGTGGAAGAACTTAATTTTGTAGTCGTTTCCACCCTTAAAGATTTGTAATCATACCCTTCTACTAAGATTTACAATAGCTACAAGAAGATTTATCCAATATCTTTAGATCCAATATCCAATGGCTTTAGAAGCGTACAAGCAAAACCTTTTTGATCATTTGGTAATTAATCAATCAAAAGATTTTTTAACATTATTTCAACTACTTAAAACTGAATGTGTACCTACTCCTAAAAATTTGTGATTCTTAGCTTACTTAAATTGCTGATAATTATTATTAAATATTTACCAGAAATTTAACAATATTTCAACAATCCTCATACCACAATGGTATTCTTCCTAAAAACTTCAAGGCGTTTTGCTGAGATTGTGTAGGTAATAGATTGTGTTTAGAATTCACAGTGTGAAATGTTTTTTTCCAGCATTAACCATTAAACAAAGGGTTCTCAGCAAAAAGCAGCGTATAATGTAGATATCGATAGATAATTAACATTTCAAGCTATGCATAGCTATAAAAAAAAGTTACTAAATTAAACCTGGAAGTAAACGTTGAATGTTTAGTTTACGTTCCTTGCAAATTACATATATGGTCTGTAATAACATATTTTATTGCCTTTTATATTTATTATACCGTATTTCCTATTAATATATAATTGTACATAATATTATATAACATATTTTCACAATTATTAATAATTAATATTTATTAAACGCATTCAAGTCATTCAGAAATAGCAAATCATGTTTTTTTTTTTTATTGCTTGATGGATGGACGAGCTCACAGCCCACCTGGTGTTAAGTGGTTACTGGAGCCCATAGACATCTACAACGTAAATGCGCCACCCACCTCGAGATATAAGTTCTAAGGTTTCAGTATAGTTACAACGGCTACCCCACCCTTCGAACCGAAACGCATTACGCAAATAATAATTTTGCGGGTTTGNGCAAATCATGTTTTTTTTTTTTATTGCTTGATGGATGGACGAGCTCACAGCCCACCTGGTGTTAAGTGGTTACTGGAGCCCATAGACATCTACAACGTAAATGCGCCACCCACCTCGAGATATAAGTTCTAAGGTTTCAGTATAGTTACAACGGCTACCCCACCCTTCGAACCGAAACGCATTACGCAAATAATAATTTTGCGGGTTTGCTTTTTATTACACGATGTTATTCCTTCACCGTGGAAATCAATCGTGAACATTTGTTGAGTACGTATTTCATTAGAAAAATTGGTACCCGCCTGCGGGATTCGAACACCGGTGCATCGCTTCAACACGAATGCACCGGACGTCTTATCCTTTAGGCCACGACGACTATCATGTAGCAAATCACGTTTATTTATTTTCAAGAGTTGGTTACTTTTCGACTGTACCGCTTCATTGTGCTTAGAAACATTTCCTCATAGAAAATTTACAGCTACGTCACGAATGGAAATCCATTTATCTAAGCCCTTGTTCGAATGCAATTGAAACTTTTCTGAAATCGTCGTCGTCGAATATATAAGACGCCCGGTATTCTCGTATCATGCGTCACCACTATGCTGACGTCTAAATGCTACAGGCAGTTATCAAAGTGTAGTATCAAGCTATCGATATCAGGACCTGGAAGGAAAAAGGTCTGAACAGAACAGTCTGGAGAGAGAGGCTAAGACCGGACTAAGGACCACCCTGGGCTGTAAGGGCTAAGATGATGATGACGTAATTACTAATTGCTTCCACGACGAAGTAATAACAACGTGTACAAAAAATGTTTTTTATTTATTTACGTATTTACTTGTAATAGGCCGCTTTGATTGTGTTTGTGAATAAATGCCTAAGCCAATTTTTGAAATTCTTTTGGCTTGAGACGATCACTAACAACAAGTTATGGAAGATCACCAAGCAGACACCAATGGAGAGGGAGATCCTTACGCGGTAGTGGCATTTTTGCATTGGTCACACATTAAGAAAGCTCGATACCCACCTATCCTGTGTTCCACTGACCTGGCAAAAGGGATAGAGGCCTTCCCAAAACAATTTGACGCCGCTCAGTAGAGCAGGAACTGGGCGTCTTGAGCATGAAGTGGGAGGAGCTAAAACAGACTGCCCAAGACCAATGGAAATAGTAAAATTTGATTCGAGCCCTACCCCACACACAGCTTAATAGGAAAGAAAGAAGAGAAGAAGGGGAGAGTGCATTGGAATCCCACACGGACAGGTACCACGAACCGGCCACGCTTTCCAGTTTTAATGGGTGGGATAGCCGTTATACAATTCAATTAAAAACTTGACCTCGTCTCTTGAAGTAGGTAACGATATTCACGTGGTGGATTTTTTTTATTGCTTGGATCGGTGGTCGAGGTCACAGCCCGTTTGGTGTAAAGTAATTACCGAAGCCCGTAGATATTAACAACGTAAACGCCGCCATCCACCCTGTGACATGAGTTCTAAGTCTCAGTTTTATGGTAAAACGGCTCAACTGAACAAAAACATCCCATCTTAAGTCTCAAAGAGGCACATTGAACTGTGTACGGGTTCCAGAAACAACTTACCATTAACTAAGAACAGATTAGAACGATGATTTATTTATTTATCGTATGGCATTCGTTTACACTGCGTGGTTATAATTGAAATTTACAGTTTGTGATTAGGGTTTTATAATTGACGCAGTGTAGTTGGAACCGGGAGATCCTCAGGAGGACAGTTCGGTTGCCAGGTTGTTGCACTATTAGCACCACCTAGGGGTCACGTGTAGGGTAGCGGTGGGTAATCTCCTACGGACGTTATGCAACTTCGACCCCCAACGATGTTTGCCCTTTTTGTGTTGGTATTTGTCATATACCTACTAAATCATTAGCGATTTTGCAAAGAACGCAAATGAAACGGAGATTTTTCTTTTTTAGTTAAGAAAACGATTACCATAATTACCTACGCTTAACATTTGCACATACATATTGCGTAAGAAACGTGAGCATGGATACCTTCCGCATACCATTCGACAAGCGATATCGACCCAAACAAAATGAAATAGGACAAAAAGGAAGGGAACTCGATCATTCTATTCTTGAAGAAGAATCATCAAAACTATGCTCGTGACATTCACTTTCCTTCTCTCGGTATAAAAACCAATACGAATAAGCTGCATCCAAACATGTATCTATTAAAGATCCAGAGAATAAAATGTGATATAGGTACAGAATCTGTTTGTTATCAATACTGACTGTCAAATTTACTTAACAGATTTTTCTATTGCTATGTGGACGAGCTCTTGGTACTAAAAAACCTACACTTAGTACTAAGTGAATAATGACTCGTCTATAGTCTAAATGTCAAAGCCATCATCTACTTTAAGACATGAATTTTATGCATCAATCGTAATAGTATGGCGGCTATCCTAGGTTTTAACGAATTAGTAGTATATGCGTGAGCAGGCTTAGAATACGCCGCACTATCAATAATTATTCAAAATTATTTTAACGGATTTGCATTTAGTACACGGTGTCAAACCTTTATCGTGGACGTCATTAGTGAACACTTTTATTAACTACATATAACTACATATTCATAGAAAATGTGTTACTTGCTAGCGAGATTCTAACACTGGTAAAGTTGTATCGCTTGATACGAGTGCACCAGGCTTCTAAAGTTTTAGGCCACGATGACTTTAGAATATCACAGAAGCTATTGAACCGTCATATTTACGTTTATGTTACAGGTATCCCAATGCGCAGACTTCACCTCACAGACAGACATCTTCGAGTTATGCTGTGGTGTATCCTGTTAGGTCTGCAGCCAGCGTTTGGTGGAATACTTGATCCCTTCAACTGGGCAAGATCAGATAGAATCGAAGTCAACATACCATGGCTACCATGTACGTATGCTACATGGACTTCATAAAATTATATTATAATAAGATGTGAGATTTCATAGAATGAGGCAACGTTGATATTTCTGTGTCCAGAAACTATAGGCTATTTTGTCAGTAGCCAAATGTATCGAAATTTATTTACTACTTTCATGTTCGGGTACTCTTAATCAAGGTTTATTTTTTATTTTTAACCGACAGTAAGAAAGCTTTCAATTCGGTTATATTTTTAATAATTGGTTTTCTGAGTAATTCCTTAATTTCCAAACAGATTTGGAAATCTGTATTTTATCTAAAATTATATAAGTACTTTCAGTTATTGGAATTTTCATCAAAACCGGTTTAATTGGTTTCTTTTTTTTATATTGAAATAGCTGGAAAACATTTGTATTAGAAATTAACTTTTTTTTTTCATTCCGATTAATTGTTTTGTGTGGTTTAATATTTTAATTTTGGTTTTTCTGTTTCTATAATAATTTTTTAAATACATTATCAATTTAATATTCCGGACATATCGTAAACTGAAATTGTAAAACGTGAAATTTATACTAAATAAAAAAAAAACAAATAAACCTAACCATTGAACAGCAAAATTATTTTTTTTGTCTGAAACTTAATAACTCGTAATAACAGAAAACAAATGAAGTTAAGCGAAAGTAGTTTATATAAGTTAATGATTTATTTGAAGTAATGATTATGTTGTCAGTTTAAAAACGCGCGTGCCTGAAACAATTAAATAAGAACCGAAAGTGAGAAGCAGTATGCATAAAAACAATCATTCTATCTCGTAATCAATAAGTAATTATGAATGATCTTTCAATTGCATGGTTACTTATCTGTAACATTTAAACAGAAAAACATTTGCCTATGAACCGCAAACATTGTTTATTTGATTCCTGATCTGAGTTAGTATCTTTGTGAAAGATATTTCGTATTCTTTTGTGTCTCCGGCTGACGTAATACAGGAGCAAATTGTACTTAAGTCGGTTAATGTGTAAATATAATTAAATCGTTATTAATTTCAAACAAACCGATATAATATGCTCCAGCTTTATTGAAAACTAGCGACCCGTCCTCGCTTCGCTTCGGGAGCTGTAATTTATTATTGAGCTTATTGAATATTCTTTTATACAAATCCGGTCCTGACAGTAACAAACACAATAAAAAAAGAACGCAACAAACAAAAAATCTAATCTTTGCTGTTCTTATATTAACGGTTCACTATTTTGGCGATAATGGCTAATGAATAAAAGATATATATGTATATACTGTCACGGGCTTTTTTGTACGACTATTTGAGATGAGCATTTCCATTTTACTTTAATACGTGTAACCCCAACGGCTTTTGCGGCGCACGCAAAAATAGCTCGCAGATAGCAGATCTTTTAATTCTTACTCGACACTCATAGTTTTCTATTTATTATTGTTTTGGGTATATAGTTACGTATAATAAGTTTCAAGCTTTTAGCTCTAAAAATGCCGATATTTCCATACAACTTTTCATCCTCCCCTTTTAACCCTTAACAAAGCTTTTATCAAGTTAAAAAGTAGCCTTTGTCTTTTCTCACGCTTTAGACTATCTGTGTACCAAATTTCATGTAAATCAGTCCAGTAGTTTTTACTGCTTCACGGCAGAAATAGGCGGGATGGTGGTACCTACCCGTGCGGACTTACAAGATGTCCTACCACCAGTAAACACCACATTTGAATAACAACACTTCTATTTTATAAATTGAAAAGGAAAGAAAAACAATTCGATTACGTTATTTAATTATTTTCATTTCGTTTTTAATTGCAGTTGAAAATGAAACAAGATGCTATGATGAACTGGGTTGTCTCAACATTACAAGGAGCTGGTATCACCTGATTCATCGTCCCTTCAACGTGTTTCCGTTACCACGAGTTGTCATCAATACCAGGTATAATAAATTATGAAAAGACAGTGATCGACACATTAAAATTAACGATCTATTACAATTTGTGGGATTCGTTGACTAAATCTGGACTTATTCCGATGATTATTTTACAATTAGATTATTTTATATATTTGATTAACAATTTCCATTTACAAGATGTTTATATGTGCAAAAATTCATATTTGAATAAAACTAATATTTGATTAGTACTAATGTTAGAATTTTTCATTGAAAAAAAACCATCTTCATACGCTTAACACATCACTGTCAACAGGTTCATTTTGTATACAAAGAAGAACCCGACTGATGGTCAACTACTGAACGTGAATGTGAATAAGACGATAGTGAAATCGAATTTCGACCCTCAGAAACCTACGAAGATGATCGTACACGGATTCATCGATACACCGCTTTCTAATTGGGTTGGTTTTAACCATGTTTGTCATGTTTCTATATTTAATAATGAACTGTGGTGCAAGATCACTGAGAATTCCCTGGAGTGAACACCTCTATAGATTCTGGCTACACGGGAGTTACATTAAGAGGGAGAGTCAGGCAAATATCCGAAAGCAGTGTTAAGTTATGGCAGACACCGCACCACGCTCACGGCACAACATCACTTTTGCTGGTATTTAATTAATAGATATATAGCAGTCAAAGTTTGAACTGTATTATAAACTGTATAACTACGTCGTTCCAAAAAAATTAACGATATTTACACATATTCTGCAAGTTCACAAATAAACTCCGTCACAGATATTAAATGATTTATTAAATGATTAATTTATGATTGATTAATTTGTTTTATTAAAGGATTTGAAGGGTTGCAAAATTTTATAAAATGCCAATATTTCAGAGACGAAAAAAAATAAAGATCCTTTGTCCAAAGGATCCAAAGTCTCCTTTGAAAATGATTTCAGATTAATTTTAATAAAAAAAAATTATAAAGTTATTTTAAACTTAAAATAAAAATGTTTCAAAAGTATCAAAATTAATAAAAAATTTGACTTAAGGGTGGCGCGATAAAAAGCGCCCAGGGCGGCATTGAGCCTAAACCCATCGCTGGCTTGGGATGGAGTAAAAGTAAGACAGAGCTCTCGTCTCTCGTACTCCACTTCAGTCATCGGCTACTTTCTTCCTCACTCATAAAATTCGATGTAGCGGTGCTACAATAAGAACATTAAATAAAGAACATTGCGCACTATCTACTTGTAATAAACTGTTAACAATATACCGTATTTTAAAAGATTCATTAATTGTAACTTTCAGGTCAGTGAAATGAAAGACGAACTCGTAAAAGCTGGTGACTTTAACGTTGTTATTGTGGACTGGGCGGGAGGGAGTCTACCGCTCTACACCCAGGCTACAGCAAACACAAGGCTTGTGGGTTTAGAAATCGCTCATTTTATCAATACTTTAGAGGTAAATACGCTTTTAATTACATTATTTGTGAGTGACAAACAAAAAATCAGCCCGTTTTTGAACGACACTCATCGTGCTTGATATTGATAATGTGAAAATAAAATAATTACTAATACTACTAAAAGGTCTTATGCACAGCAGTACAAAATAGACACAGCGTAGGCAGCGGCTTGACTCTGCCCCTGGCATTGCTGAAGTCCATAGGCGACGGTAACCACTCGCGATCTAGTGGGCCGTATGCTCGTCTGCCTACAAGGGTAATAAAATAAAATAAAAACAACCCCTACCACACCGATTTTCTCGCCGAATCTTCTCAATGGGACGCGATTCCAAACCAGTGCTATATTCAACGAAGCAATGCTCTTGCTGGGGCTACTGTTAGCAAGTCCTCCCAGGTTAAGCCCGGTGAGCTCACTTACTAAGCCGTGCATAGGTGGATTAGCCCGTCAGGCTACCAGCGATTAGGTAGAGGAAAAAACATTAAAGCGTTTCGGTTTGAAGGGTGGAGAAACAGTTTTACTATAAAACTGAGACTTGAAACTCAGGTCTCAAGATGGGTGGCGCAATTTACGTCGCTGGTATCTATGGACTCCGGTAACCACTTAAAAACCACAGGTGGGCCGTTAACTCGTCCATCCACCTAAGCAATAAAAAACAAAAAAAAAAGATATCTTGCTAAGCCACAAAAAACTCAAGCGCCAACTACGGTAATTTACAGAAAGACCACGGATTAAATCCTCAAGATGTCCACATAATAGGACACTCTTTAGGTGCTCACACGGCTGGTTATGCTGGAGAACGTATACAAGTAAGTGGTGAATAATGGTAATTATGTAGATCAAGCCTTTTTCAAGAAGAACAACGAAAGTGTTAATAATACATGCAAACAAAGAGGTGTCAACATTTATGATTCTTAAAAAACTCAATAACTTATTAATTATTTCAATTACATAAGTAAAGATATAGGCCAAATTGGTGAAGTAACTGATACGATCTGTGTTTCATCTACTATTGACTACATAGTTGTTAAAAATCCTGTATGTTCTGCTTGAAGAAACTTGAATCGTTCGATTTAAAAAATGTCAACTATTCCACTATTGAGTTATCATATTATCTTTGATTTAGCATCTGATTTCCTAGGGCTTAGGAAGAATAACGGGTCTCGATCCAGCAGAACCTTACTTTCAAGGAATGCCAACACACATCAGGTTGGATCCAACGGATGCTCAATTGGTCGATGTCATACATACAGATGGAAAGAGCATTTTCCTTTTAGGTAAAAAAATTATTTTTCAATACATAAGCGCACATCGCTTTTATTCAATATTACTCATTACACCTTAATTAATAAAACTCGCGTCATTAACTAAGCTAAGTTGCTGAACGTTAACAATTCTATTACTATTTATGTACATATTATGTATATCTTTGTAAATATGTATCATGAGCTAATTTGCTACTATCACTTAATATTATTTGTAGGTATATATTCGGTGTATTTATTACATTTATGCGGTTTTTTTTCTACTAATTAATCGACCAGTTTATTTTGCGCGTGCGACAGATTTTGTGTTTATGGCAGGATACGGAATGTCGCAGCCAGTGGGCCATTTAGATTTTTATCCTAATAACGGTAAAGAACAACCCGGCTGCGATCTCACAGAGGGGCCACTGGTGCCGCTAACTCTAGTCAAGCAGGGCCTTGAGGAAGCTTCAAGGGTTTTAGTAGCCTGCAACCATGTTAGAGCTATAAAATTGTTTACAGAATCGATAAATGGAAAATGTGCTTACATAGGTGAGTTGAAAGTACATTTTATTACGAATTGTATTCGATTACAGGAATACATTTATAAAGACGGAACATGTTTCAGGGCATCAATGCCCATCGTACCAGCATTTTTTGGCAGGAAAATGCTTCCACTGTGGTCATGGTTGCGCTGTTATGGGGTAATTAACTTATTCTTAGTACTTTCCTAGATTCAATGATAAATATATTTTTTACTATTTGTTACTTTAAAGAAATTGTTCGAATAAAAGTCATTCTATTTTAATACTATGAGCGGTTAGTGAAAATTAGTATGTTTTCCAGTTTCCATGCAGACAGTACTCCAGGATTAATAGCGAACAGGGACAATTTGACAGAAAATGAGGTATACCCATCTGAAGAACATGAAACTATTGGGGCTAAATACTTTCTTAGTACGGGCAAAGAGCAACCGTTTTGCCGTAAGTTAAAAATACTCATGCGCAAAATGCAATTTACACTGCTGGAATGAAATTGTTATGTAATCTAAGCCTATTTTTATTTCCAAAATAAACTTAGTCTACATATGTTATCTTGTACAGTATCAACCTACTTTGCAAATTTAACAGTAAAGTTTATATGAGGGTCTTGTTTTTCTAAATTTCTAAAACTTTTCAGAGAGACACTATAGAGTGACCATTCAACTAGCAAATCCTAAAGGAGCTGAATCTTGGGTCCAGGTAGACCTTCCTTAATCTTCAAGATTATTATTTTTTACTCAGAACAAAGAGTTTCACTTTATTCTTTTTTTATGTTCATAGGGGTTTTTGAAGGTAGCACTTTTATCTGACCGTGGAGTAATTAGGGGTATGGACCTAACACCAAACAACTATGTAAAGTAAGTTCGAAATAATCGTCGCTACCCAAACTGAGTTCTATTATGTCAATTATTTGTTTCTATTTAAAATTAAGTATTTACGTTTCTAACTTATTATTTTTTATAGAATCACAATTTTAATAAGTTTCCCACATTTTCAGGTTAGAACACGGCAGCACTTACACCATTGTTGTTACGCATCCAATGGATATGGGCGGTAAAGTTAGGAAGGTAAATACTTACGTATATAAAAAAATAGCAGACAAATAAATAATTTATTTACATTCTAAGAAAACATGATGAGAAGATTAGGTTATTATGTTGCACTAGATTTAACTTGAAGATGCGCTGGTGGTCGTCACACTGGACCTGTCTTATATGATGATGACCCAGTACAAAATAACCAGAGTACAGTAAAAGAGAGAGAGAAAGAGAGTTATAAAATTGAATAAGTAGTATGTTAGGTAATTTAATATTTTCTTGGGAAAGAGAAAACATATTCTACGATGCCCCACTAACAGCTATTTAATAACATTTTAATGATTCTATGTACACATATGAACTGGTTTCTAAGATAAATCATTTCAATTTAATTTCATTTAATTTTCATCTTATAAGCGTCCTTGACTAAAAACAGTATTAGGCCAATTAAATTATTTCTTCAAGCCATGTTTTTTTTGTGTGAGTGTAATTTATTGTTAGTTTTAATCAACACGATATCATACCCAAATAGGTGGTAATAAGTCATGTACGAGCAATTAGTATGTTATTAAGTTAAAAGAATTCGATCATAACATCGAAATAAATACAGTGACACTAAATATCACATTTAAATTTCGAGTTATAATTTTCGCGCCAATCTTCATCCAGATATTTTTTTTCCTGATATTTATGATTGTTGGTGTGTGTGTATGTGTGTATCTGGGATGTGAGTGAGATGAATTCGGTTCGAAGGAAACTCTCCATCTCCTTGCTATTAGTTGAATATTCTTGCATCGAGCAATAATAAATAACAAAAGGTCCTTTGTATGTAGGTAATAAAAAATGGTTTGGCTTTCTACATACATAGTGTACGTAGGTACTAAAAACGGTGATGTAATAGATATGACAAAATTTAATCCCACAGGAGTATATTTGGTTTAAGTGAATAGATATAGCATCAGTTTCTACGCAGTTTACACATCATTACGGATCCTCCCGATCCATTAACGGTGCTTTTAGGTACCTCAAGCACCGGTCACCGTCCTCGCCGAACCAGTCACTTGCGACGAGTAAAATAACCCACAGACACAGCCCACTGAATTTCTCGCCGGATCTTCTCAGTGGGTTGCGTTTCCGATCCGATTTGAGCCCCATGAGCTCACCTACTAGTGCGGTGAATCTAGAATAACCCCTCGAGGTTACTAGAATAGGTAGCAAAAAAAACACAATTTTAATTTGCATTTATTTGCTTTACTATAAAATCGAATACAGGCATTGTCACTTAACCATTTTAAACGTTACATTTACAGGTGGAGTTATCGTGGGAGTACGACATGAATGTACTAGAGCCGCGATCCCTTTGCATCCTGTGGTGTAATGATCGATTATATGTCAAATCTGTCATTGTTGATCAAATGGAATTACCATCGAGAGGGTAAATTTTATACACCTTATAACATTTTATTTTAAATACCTAAATCAAAAATATATTTTGATGAAATATTAAAATCACTGTTGAACGATAATACGAAATAGGTATGAGTACATTTACTGATGCAGGCATGGTGCTTTCTCTCATGGAAGAGAATGCACTGTTGAACGATAATCCGAAATAGGTATGAGTACATTTACTGATGCAGGCATGGTGCTTTCTCTCATGGAAGAGAATGCACTGTTGAACGATAATCCGAAATAGGTATGAGTACATTTACTGATGCAGGCATGGTGCTTTCTCTCATGGAAGAGAATGAATGGAACACCGACTAATTAGTCTCCGGGTAGCTCGCTGATAGAGAGCGCTGATGATCGAGTGCCCGGCGACCACCAGTAAAGCGTACCGTGAGGCGTGGTGTTAATTTGCAACACCCTCGTTGGTTTTATTTAGTTGGTTCGACACCAGATAATCTTTTTTTTAAGATACGCTGTTAGTCTTGCTTTTTAAACCAAGTCTAATTTACATTGCAGGAAAAGAAATGTTGATTTTAGTAGTAAATTATGTACACTAAAAAGAGAATTCGCCGAGATACCCAATAGAGGTTCTGCAAGCTTCTATGACAACTGCGGAAGGTAGCTACTAGGACTAGGAGCTCGTCTTCGTTTCTTAAAATGGAACACAAATAAGGACTTTTATTTTTATCAGTGAATTAATCTGAATTCTCTTCGTTCAAGCACTACTTCTAAAGTATTAGTGCAGTGAAAAGCTTTAAAGGAAATGTGATTTAAAAGAGATGTGTCGTTTTATCTTTCGTTAAAAAGCGGACAACTGATTTTTTTGTGTTTGTGATGCTGTTACAGAGTGACGATTGTAAATAGGATCGCTTTAAGTTATTGCAATATACTCAAAACTATGTTCCCTTTTATTTAATAACGTCTGTCGTCTTAATGTTTATCATCTGTTTAAATTTAAAATTAGTCTATAAGTTTGTATATAAAACATAAATTATGTTGTTGATTGTTCTATTCTAAAAGTGATATAAAACAAATACTTCTAGTGATTTTACTTTTTAAATACCTAACTCTTACCCAATCCCGTTCCGCGTACAACTCGATTAGAATATCCCTAAACATAGTGGAAAATATCAGATCATCGAATGGAGACGTTAACAGGCTATAGAACGTTAAAATAAAAGTTTTTTTTAAATACCTATACATGGTATCTAGAATATCAAATCAAATACTATAAAGCTGTAGATAGGTGTAGTGGTCTAAGCCTGAAATGTATAGATTACTTTTATATTGCATATATTCAATAAATAGACTATTGATTATATGGGTGGACAAGCGGAACACCTAGTTTTTAGTGATTACCGGAGCCCATAGACATTAATAACCTGAATGCCACTACCTACCTTAAGACATGAGTTCTAAGTCTCCCTTTTTAAAGTACAACAACTTCCCTACCATTCAAACCGAAATGCTTTATTGCTTCACGGCAGGAATAGGCAGGCGGTAGTAAATACGCGCGGGCACACAAGACGCCCTAGCACCAGTCGGTACCACCAGGACGTAAAATTAATAATAGTGATCGTATGAATTGAGTGCTCGCACAGAATATGTTTTTCTTTGCCAAATATGCACTATTGAATTGAAGACTGCGATATCGCTTTCACTAGGCCCTCCTTGGTGCGTGCTGAAGGTAAAAGTGATTTTATTGTAATAATCATATTAATGTAAAAATTATTGTAAGCATCCCAACAACTTCGCATTGCTTTCGGAAGTCGGAAGTTATACGAAAACGAAGTAAATGCCATAGTACCTAATTGAGTGGGTTCTCCGAGCTCAAAAAGATGCACGTGATGTTAACTAATTAAAACACACACAACGTACAAGCATTTTAGAGATTCCGTCGGAACCATTAATCCGCTCCGACCAGGTCGGTACATAAAATAGCTACTTTTATCTTTGCAATAAGGGTGAAATTTAGTAATATTGGCCAGAAAGTTGTATATGCAGAAGTTTTGAGTCTTATGCACCTAGTAATATCGATGCATTTTTTACCGTGTTCACTATTTGAGTTTATATGAATGAAATTCATAATAGTAGGTACTTTGACTTTATAAAATCAGGACTGCCATCGAACAGTTGGAACAATTAATAAATTGGTTTTTGTATGAAATTACAAATTACGACAGAATTATAATTTTGATTTTAACTTCATCTACATTTTTGATATTATAGCCACGTTTCGGATTGAGCCATTATACACCCTGTATAATTCAGAACATGCTTAATATGCTTTTTGAACTCTTATTTTTAGTTTCACACAAGTTACACACAATCATAATTCACCAAAATTTATTAATGATAAATTATGTAGACCAAATTGTGTGACAAAATCACTGAGCATTGTTTCTCGGGAAATATAAAAAAGACCACGGAAGTTCAAAAACCACTATTTTAACTAAACTACTAATTAATCGAATTAATTTCATTGTAATAAATCGATTTTAAGAATAAAATTGATAGGCTTATTACAGATCAATTTATAAATATTTAAATAAAGGACCTACTACTTAATTTAATCTATTAAAAATAGTAGGTATAACCATGCAGTTATGCCTTCGCACCCATATCACTGCTACTAGTATATATTTTAATTGGTTTGGGTTATAAGTCACCACTTTAACACGTTAAATCCTGCAGAAGCACCAAATGAACACAATAAAACAATTGATTAAACTTCACTCCTCACGTTCCTGCCAAAGAGCCTTCCAATTTATAATTCCATGTATTGATTTGTTTTATTTTGTCTATTTAGTGTTTCTTCAGGTTTAAATGTGTATTAACGGTGATTATTAATCGTTTAATATCTGTGAAAGTACACAAATGTGGGAAAACGAAACAAAGCCGCTGGACGTAACTTCTCGGGATGCTCCCAAAAAGTCTACTAAAAATCTCAGTAAATGACCACCGTTTTACTGAGATTATATTTTATCCCATATCGTCTCATTACGTTTAATTTCATCCCAGTTGATTAATGTCTCAAATTAATTATCGTCATTTCATTTCATTTCACTCCATATTATCATTTTTCATAAAAATAAAAATAAGACTTGACCTGAAGATATTAGTTACCAGGTCATAAAATCCCTTAAAAAATGAATATTGCTGACTTTTTGGCGGGAACGCGAAGAGCGAAGTTGTGTGATTTGTTTTATTTTGTCTATTTAGTGTTTTTTTCGGGTTTGAATGTGTAATAACGTGTTGGTTCATAAACTGTTTAATATCTGTGAAAGTGCACAAATGTGGGAAAATTAAACAAACCCCGCTGGACGTAACTTCTCAGGATCTTCCAAAAAGTTCTCTGAAAAAATCTCAGTAAATGACCACCATTTTACTGAGATTATATTTCATCCCATATTATCTCATCTCATTTCATTTCATTTCATCCCAGTTGATAAATGTCTCAAATTAATCATTTCCAACCAGCAACCAGTTCTCGGTACCGTAGCAACAATCAAGCTTTAACACATTCCCGATCCTGCGGACAGAATGGAAAGCAGTCGACGTTGCGCCGCCCCAAACACGTCATTTCGGATCCTCCCGATCCACTAACGGTGCTTTTAGGTACCTCAAGCACCGGTCATCGTCCTCGTCGAACCCACCGCTCGCGACGAATGGCTCGACGAGTAAATTAATCCCCAGACACAGCCCACTGAGTTTCCCGCCGGATCTTCTCAGTGGATCGCGTTTCCGATCCGGTGGTAGATTCTGCGAAGTACGGCTCTTGCTAAGGTTCGTGTTAGCAACATCGTCAGGCTTGAGCCCCATGAGCTCACCTATTAGTTAAGGTTACACTGAAATAGCCTCTCAAGGCTCTCAGCTAGGTAGGAAAAAAAAAGCTTTAATAAAGGTTAAAGCAACAAATCTAAACTATAGCAAAGACAATACCATAGATAATACACTTAATGCTTATAAGTAAATGATAATACCTACCACTGAAGTATACTATTTTAATTTTTTTAAGTCTATGGATAATACTGTCAAAACTGTCAATAGTGGTCAATCAATAGGTTTTGTGGACATATCAATAGATAATCATAATACACTACAAAAATAACCACAAATTAAACTATAGTAAAATGTTGTCTAGCAAGAATTAGCGTACTAAGAGTAAATACTACGCTACTTAGCTAAAAAAGTTTTAAACAACTTAAACAGTAATATTGAAACCGTAGCCTTTGCTTTGCAGTTGGTCGAATGTCTTCTTCAAGTTCTAAATTAGTTTTAGGTCTTTCCTGTTCTATAACAATAGGGATTGTGTCATATGTTCACCTAAAACAGCAAGCCGACAGGTAAGACGAATGATAATATCATTGATAAAGATTAATGGCTTTAGCATGTTAATGTCATATTCTAAATAAAATTGGTGAAACATTTTTGTTATATTATGTAAGTAAGTAGGTACATACAACAAATTAATAGTGACATTAGCTTTAATATCTTAATCATACTGGATTGACTTCAAGCATTCAGTTCATTTAGTAATAAATTATTATTATTATAATTATTGTACCAGCACCATTGATTTCTGCCATTACACTTGCTTTAAAAATATAAATACGAATTAAGCAGTCATATGCTGCTATTTAAAAAGTAGCCCATTTCATTGCAGCTAAAATTTTAACATTTTTATTTCTCAAGGCAGTTGGCAACATTCATATCATGATGCCTACAGGCTCTAGTAACCCCTTAACACCGGGTGGGACATGAACTTATTCACCCATCTATGAAATAAGCATGTCTGATAGATTTTTTGCTTAATGTGTGAACCAAAAACAGATTAAGTGCAAGCATCTTAGACTGTTTTAAATATTCAGATTGAGAAATATCATTGAAGTAAATATTCTCTTCAGTTATTGATTGGTAAAATTTACTTTATCTAATCATTTGATTGATCTTGGAAATAGACAGAAATTATATACTTAAATACATTTATTTTGGTCTTGTATTAATGAAAATATTGTTTACATTGAAGTAATTAAGCAACTTAAAGGTTTTATTAGTATTCAATTGTTTCAGGGAAAAGATGCATGAAGGAGTAGTGAGAGATATGGAACGGCAACAAAAGAGAAAGATAGAAAATTTATACCTTTTGGAGAAACAAAACGAACTAACAAAAAAGCTAAAAAGAGAATTAGGTAGTTAGGTAATAAAAGGCTGATAATTTATTTTCGAGTATTTATTTTTTTGTACAGCTAACAACTAGAAATAAAGAAACAATGTCATCTGAATTATTTTTTCTTTTCATTCAACCATGCCTCTAACATAACATCCTTAAGGTTTAGATTTATTCCTGTGGGGTGACATTTATCTTGTCCATCTATGAATCTGTCTGTTTCAAGTTTGTATTTAGCTACAGCAGCGAGGGCTTCGAATGTTTTTGGTTCCCATGAAGCCAAGTCTGACAAAGATTTCCTATCCAACATTATATTAGCTCTGTCCAAGCCTTCTCTTAAAGAGAATAGTGTAATATTGTGTTGCTCACAAGCAGCCGTTATTCTGACGTCCCAAAGACTTTTCATGTCTTCTTTCTTAAGCTTTCTTGCTTTGGTTGCATAAACTAGAGCTCGGTGAACATTTCGAACTGCAATCGAATAACAATTTCGTCGACGGCCAATATAATGAGCGGCTAATCTAAAAATCCGTCGCTTTCTCCAAAATTCGTCGGGTCCACGACAGCGGGCCCAGTTTATAACAGACAAAAATACCATGACGATCTAAAAATCTGAATTTAGGTTAGAATCACAAAATTAACCCTACATGTAAGAGCCTACGAACAAAATTTTGTTCAATGAATTAAATATTAAAAACCATCGGAAATTTCAGTTACTCGATACAGTTAGTGAACTTTAAATAAATTGGGTTGGTGAACACCACTACCAAATTATTGACAAAAATAAATCCAAGTACCATAGACCTTTTTTTTGGTACAATTTTTCTTTATTAGGAAAAGCAAAAGGATCTAAGCCCATACATTCTTAAATATACCATAGACCATAGATTAACAACATAAGATTCTTTATTTTTGTTTCATCAGTACATGTTATGTATGCTTTTCCCAAAAAAATTGGTATCTACCAGCTATTTGACACCAAGTGGAGTCATATCGTTCAGAAAATATTCAAAATTTTGAAATATCAGAAGTGGAACATCTTTTTAACGAACCGAAACAGTACAAGAACTGAGCTAATTAGGCTTTGTATCCCATCATATTAAGAACATAGGGGCTTCAGACAAAGGTAAAGAACAGAACAAGTTCATAATACCTAATAAATTAATCTTCAAGAATTCCCATATATAAGATAAAATTTGGTTTTGATTCACCGAACTTGTTAAATATGCTATGAGACCAAAGTAAATAGCTGATATTGAGGGTGTGGTAGATTTTGTCTGACTATCAGCCTTTATGTGGCTACTGACTACATTTATATTAACCTTTAAGTTTTAAGGTTTTGGTTTTTTTAATTAAGTTCACAAAATAAGTGTAACTATAAGTGCTACCAAGTTATTCATCGGGTTTTGAAATGATAATCTTACCCTTGTGAAATATTTAGATAATATTATGGGTTACGATCTATGTATTTAATCTTTCTAAGGGACTTGAAAAATATATAAATACGCCAATGGCTACGCTATACAATCGGGCACACCGAAAAACCATTTATTTTTCTATCTTTGTTTTTTTTAATTGTAGGCAGACGAGCATACAGCCCACCTGATGGTGGGTGGTTACCGTCGCCCATGGACTTCAGCAATGCCAGGGGCAGAGCCAAGCCACTGCCTACCGTTAAGTACTCTCCGCAAGTCTCGTTTGAAGAAGGATGTCATAGCGCTCGGTAAACACCGTGGTTTGACCTGTGATACAAATTATTGCAAGCGGAATCGATCAGATTCTCTGAGCCAGTCTCTGATATATACACTAATCGTTATCAATTTAAGATTAATTAACGTTAATAAATACCTCGTGTTCATTTGTAGCATGAGATATTTTTCTAATTTTCGACATCATTTAATTCAGAATTGGTGCTACCGTCGGAGTTGAAGTCTATTATTGAACTACTGGTCACATTTAAATTATTTTTCATAGGCATAACTTGCATGATGTCATAATTTCTTGGAGATTTATCACTGCATGTTCTTCTTTTGTCCATTACCAGTACAAAAAACAATATCTACAATTTCAAAAATGTCGAATTACCCGCCAAGTCTTACGTGAAATTGCTTACATTTACAATTACGAACTCTTATCTTTAAATGTGTGACGGCATTTTCGTTTTCATGTCTTTAAGCTACTTTAACCGCTTCATACCAAGCAGGACGTGAGCTCAACTAACCGTCTGAATGTTTTATTGTCATAACTAACCTATTATTTGCATTTACCTTTATATTTTTTATCTTACCTCAGTTAATACGATTGAAACAAAGAGAAGAAGATTTATATAAATTATAACTATTTCAGTGTTGTAAGCTATTTCACCGCATCCTTTAGTATTAATAGAATGAGTCCCCAGTTCGATAAGATAGTTAGGTATACATGAACCACTTTTGCAACAGCTAAAAAATTTTTGATTAATAAACACCTTAAAACACAAAAGACAACTTACACGTTAAATAACTATAACAAATGTGATTAAACCAACATCACTAAATCACTACGGTAGTCGGGGAATGTATATATGCACTCATAGGCTTGACGATGCTTCGTATCCTGGGCATAGGGGTAAACGCAGGGCTGTGTTAATGGCTCATGGCAATAGCTTCATTCATGGTCTAAGGGATCATTCTTGCCATAGATTTTAATTTCGAAACACAACACCATGCTCAGTATTTCTGAAGTGTATTAATCATAACTCGTTGTATGTTTTACGTTTGACACGTTCGACGACCAGGTAAAAAAAAATTCTACTGGTGATAGGACCTCTTGTGAGTCCGCACGGGTAGGTTACCACCACCCCGCCTATTTCTGCCGTGAAGCAGTAATGCGTTTCGGTTTAAAGGGTGGGGCAGTCGTTGTAACTATACTGAGACTTTAGAACTTATATCTCAAGGTGGGTGGCGCATTTACGTTGTAGATGTCCATGTGCTCCTGTAACCACTTAACACCAACTGGGCTGTGAGATCGTCCACCCACCTAAGCAATAAAAAAATCAAAAAACTCGTAGCTGATGACTGGCACTCTTCTCTACAAACTTCTGAAAAAAGCACGTACCTACCACAAAACAACTTCTCGCGATTTAGATGATTACTGATGATTTAAGATTAACCTTAATCTTTCCTTTATAATAAAATAATAATAAAAAAAAACCTTAGAGGCACGCTATCAGACACCGTTTTCTCTTTAATATTTGCATTCCTTTTGTTCGATGTAGAATCCCATTCATAGTCACGTACTTTGTCAAACCAATCTAGTGAAAACCAATCCTTATAAGAATTGAGCTAAAATTAAATGCATCACAATTAACTATTTTCTTCGTTTTTTTACTTAAACTTAAGTAAAATTACTTTAGACATATTAACAATATAATATTGTTTTGATTATGCATCATAGTGGCATCATTTTAACAATAAAATGAAATAATCTTTGAAAATATATAATTACCCCGCAGCAGTCTAAGAACCACTGTAGATTGTCTATGAAATGTTTATTTCTTGGGCCTCTTCTGTAGTTCCTCATCCCATCCGAAATAGCTTGAAAAGTTTTAATGTGACAAGTACTTATTTGGTGTATACAAAGAATTAATCCTACTATATTTACTATGATGATCGAAATGATACTTAACCATAAAGGGCAGCATACTACTTTTCCATTGTGACTGAAAATATGAAAATTGTTAAAAATATTGCAATCGACGGATTAAATATCGATGTTCGATAGCCATTTTATTAGTTGTTAAAGGCACAAAAAAATATCAAAAATAAATTTCGGTTTGTCATAAGCAATACAAATCAAATTTCAGCCTCATGTTGTAATGTGATTATCGAAATTAGCATTATATATCTAGACTCCCATAATAAATTAACACCAGGCTGACTGTGAATTAATTGGTCGTCCCATGGAGACCATAGACATAGATAATTATCAATTATTTTATTATTAATCGAATTTAAAAAATTAAACTTAACTCAATGCGTTTCCCCCGTGCTATGGAACACAAAATATGAACATTTGACGGAAGCATTACTAATCCTGATAGTAAAACAAAGGCATTCATCAAATCCATTCCAGTTTTTGTTAATATATCGCTTAGACCTGAACCAAAAAATAATTAGGGCTAATAGATCAGACGGCCAGTGTATTCGTATTTATTGATGGAACTACGAAGGAGTTTTAGTCATGACCGTTGCCAACTTTCACAGCCAATGTTAAATACGTTTTTTGCAAAAGATTTTTATGATTTTAATTATGAAAAAAATAACATCACGAACTCAAACAGCAATATTTTTCATGTTTCTTCTGTGGGTTTTATAATCCCCTTTTTACTTTTAAACTTGCATATTGTACGAAGCAAACAGTGAACTTCCCTTCGTTTGCCGCTAAGGGCGCTATTCTTACTACATACAAATTTGAGTTAACTTTTACGCGATCGAGAAGTTAAAAAAAACTTGCACTAAGCGCATAGAAGTTTTCCTTCGAACGGTGAAGCAGCTGTTATAATATAAAAGCGACATTTCGACATTCTCGTTGTGATGGTACATATTATGTGTACTGTGTGCTTAGTGCGAGTTTTTTAACGTTCTCGATAGCGTAAAAGTTAGCCCAATTTTGTATGCAGTTGGAACAGCGCCCCTAGCGGCAAACGTAGACAAACGATCCCATTCCATATAAACATGAGCTAACTTTTACGCTATCGAGAACGTTAAAAAACTCGCACTAATAACATTGATAACCGCTAACACTAGATGGGCCGTGAGGGTTGTCCAAGTAGCAAACAATAAACTTAAATTCACGTTGAGCACATACGATTCTCCACATTCGACATTGACACACTCGTCTCTCGAGTAAGAATATATGAAATTTTATTAAAGAAAAATTTTGTTCTTATTAATGGATTATCTATTTATAGTAAGTTCATAATAAGAAAAAAATACGTACAATAAAATAAAAACAAAGACCATATTATAGAAAAGAAAGAACTCAACCATAGCCAACATGCACTCCAAATAACCAATGGATGGTTTAATCCATTCATATCAATAGATATTAATTATAAAAAGTTATTTGAATATAAACTGAACAAAATGTTTATGAAGGATACTTCTGAAATATTTTGTATGACAATGTCATTTTTTCGCGCGACCGAGGTTCTCCCCAAATAAAACAAACAAGGTTTCAACAATTTGTTTATTTGCAACATTGATAAAATTCACATTCGAAAAATATTTTTGTATAAATCAACCCTTACACTATAAAGATTAATATCATTAATCGAATATATGTATATTAAATATTACAGCAGTACAAAATTATAATTACGATTTAAATCGCGACTAGTATTATTTAAAAAGTTATCAGTATAGTTATCAGAAAGAGTTACCATTAATTAATTCAGTAGTAAGTACTATACTGCAATTATCTCGGGAAGACTTTTTGAGACATGCGCTTCAAGAAAGAAGACAGTTGACGACATGTGACCGTTGAATACGATATGATTAGAATTATTAAAATTACCTGAGTTAGATTTTATTAATCCGCTGTAGACTCAATGAAGATAACGAAATAAATATAGTCGACGATAACTATATAAAAATGTTCAGAATCGATGAAAAGTCTGTTAATTTCATGCTAGACGAATCTCACTACAGTGGATTAATACGTTTTCACATGTGACAAACAGATTCTACAAGCCCACTTTACAGGAAAAGTACAGAGCATCTCAACAGAAACCTTACAATACTTAAATCTGGGCTTCACTAATAACTCAATTTTAAATCGTTTAAGAAAATATTTGTTTGTTTTAATATGTACCTAATCACACTAATCAACGACCATCTTGTTAAAATCTGAGTGATGAAATAATATTAATATAGTATACATAATTCAGTACGTGCAAATAGCTCTAATTCCCTGTCAAAGTTTTTGAAGATCTCTCATTAAATTATTTTTCGTCTCTTGCTACAAAATATATTTCTTAATAGTGTGATTCTGTACCTAGTAAGGGCAAAAACGCGGTAAAAATCAAGGACGTCCTTAAACCGTAAATATCCAATTCAACCCCAACATATCATTAAATTCCAATATCGATGTGAAATTTTACAATAAATATCATTTGGAATGAATTTTCTTATGATTAGATAAAACAATAAAATAAAGAATGGCTATACAATTAAAAATATTTTTGATAACGTTTCATATCTGTTATTTGTTGTGATTACATTTTTATTCTGTGATTGTTTCGGGTCTGGTGACGTCACCCATCGTTTTTATTTTTTGTGCTACACTAAACTCGCAACCAGTGCTCGCAACAATATCTTCCACTTTAACGCCTTCTGCCAATTCAGTCAATATAAGACCTTTTTCTTTGTCTACTTCGAAGACGCACTGAAAATATGAGATTTTATTTCCCTCGCACCATAACAACTTCGAGCAAACACATTCGTCGTGTCGACACAGTCGAAGTTGTCGTGGCCTAAAGGATAAGACGTCCGGTGCATTCGTATCCCGCCGGTGGTACCAATTTTTCTTATTAAATACGTACTCAACAAATGTTCACGATTGACTTCCACGGTGAAGGAATAACATCGTGTAATAAAAATCAAACCCGCAAAATTATAATTTGCGTAATTACTGGTGGGAGGACCTCTGGTGAGTACGCACGGGTAGGTAACACCGCCCTGCCTATTTCCGTCGTGAAGCAGTAATGCGTTTCGGTTTGAAGGGTGAGGCAGCCGTTGTAACCTAACTTGGGTCCTTAGAACTTATATCTCAAGGTGGGTGGCGCGTTTTACGTTGTAGATGTCTATGGACTCCGGTAACGACGTAACACCAGGTGGGCTGTGCGCTCATCCATCCATATATACAATAAATGTAATATAAATAAATAAATAAAATGTAAGATAATAGTAAACATGAGTAAAACATTTTACAGTGTTATCGTAACAATCGTATCGGAGACATGAATTCGATATCTCCTGGAAACAAGGGCTATCTAAATCTTCGCAGGAACATTTCATACTTCACTACAAAAATGTTAGTAGGTTATAAAATTAAAATATTTACTTTTTCGGTAATGATCATATCAACACAGTTTTTTCCTGTGAGCGGTAAGGTGCACTCTGGGAGAATTTTGTGCGATCCATTCTTGGCGGTGTGTTCCATTGTGACCACTACTTTAGTTCTTGGGGCAGAAACTAAATCCATTGCACCGCCCATTCCTTTTACCATTTTACCCTGAAAATGTGCGAATGCAAAAATAATAAGTTCACAAATGGACGTAGTCTAGCAGAAACTACTCTCGATACACACTATAAAGGATCAAGATGAATTAATAAAATTAAAATCATCTTACAGAAAGGATCAAGAATATAGATTAGGTTTTGATTCTACCACGTCGCTTTTGAATATAAGTTAAATGTTGCTGACCAATTGCATTATGGTCATGTACATAGTTGTATTTCTAATGGCATTCGATATTGTTAAAAAAATCCGTTGTCTGTAAAGTCGGTTTACTGACGATAGTTGAACGTGACGTCATAAGAAAATACTGATGGAATGGTTTCATTTTTCAATTATCGCAATTATCGTTGCTATAAACAATTGACACCACATTCACTTTTCACTGAACTTCATACTTCACGAAAACATGTACGCCTCAGAGCGAGGTAACGCCGCATGAGTCATGTTTTTTCGTGCGTGCAGCCGGCTCCATCCAATTATAAAACGTTGTCACGTCAAAAAAAAATTAAAATTACAAAACTTACAGGTATCATCCAATTGGCCAAATCACCATATTGAGAAACTTGCATCGCTCCTAGTATAGTGAGATCAATATGACCTCCTCTGATCATAGCGAAGCTGTCGTCCGATGAGAAAAATGAGGCCCCTATAACATTTTGCATTACAGAACTACATAAAATCTATATATATATATAAATGAATTGCTGTTCGTTAGTCTCGCTAAAACTCGAGAACGGCTGGACTGATTTGGCTAATTTTGGTCTTGAATTATTTGTGGAAGTCCAGAGAAGGTTTAAAAGGTAAATAAATATGAAAATGCTCGGAATTAAATAAAAATAACAATTTTGTTTTTCCTTTGATGTGCCCCCGTCGGACGGATTCCTTTTGTTTGTTTTAAGNCGTCAACAATATTCAGCACTTCAAACATACCAAGGTACTTGTAAGTTTCCGATTCACAAAGAGACTTGAGGACCACACTATGGTTAAGTAGTAAGCAATCTGAGCTTACAACTTTACCTCTCTGTACATCTATGAACGCACATTTATCAACACCAAATTCCATCCCAATGGCTTTACTAAAATTGTCGGTTATTTTAAGTAAATTATTATTATTATTATTATTTTATAAGGTTTTTAGTTTTAGGTTGATTGTTAGAATTGATTGCATAGTTTATATATAAATGTTGTTTGTTTTGAAATCTGTGCAAAATTATTCGAAAACAACGGTTTTTTTAAAAATCAACAATAGCGGGTAAAATAAAATGCCGGATCAGTTTTGAGAAATGTTTTACATTGCTGCTTCCACAGGCAACTGAGTCAACCTTCCACCTACGAAACTAGAAAACAATATGAAATGAAGAGAAACCTGGAAGTATTGTGACGGTTTCTTTGCCTGCATTGATCAGATCTGCATCCACTTCTTCTTCTGTGGGGAATGGACCGAGACCTAGTATTCCATTTTCTGATTGAAGCAAAACTTTAACATTATCTGGAATGTAATTACTTGCCAGCATAGGCATTCCTGAAAAAAATTACGTTAAAATGACATTACCAATTTGGAGTATTCAATTAATAACAATTCCGGACCGTTATCGTTGTTGTAGCCGCTGCTTATTCATTCGAACTTTTTTATTGCTTAGATGTGTGGACGAACTCACAGCCCACCTGGTGTTAAGTGGTTACCGGAGCCATCTACAACGTAAATGCCGCCACCCACCCACCTTGAGATATAAGTTCTAAGGTCTCACTATATGTAGTTACAACGTCTGCCCCACCCTTAAACCGAAACACATTAGTGCTTCACGGCAGAAATAGGCCGTGCGAACTCATAAGAAGTCCTACCACCAGTAATTATTCAAATTGTAGTTTGCGGGTTTGATTTTTATTTTTAGCTCATTTTTATTATTAGGTTAATTAAATGATATTTTTACATGGTTTCAAGGACATGTACATATAAGTGTATACGTTATTGCTACTTCCCACACTTCTTTAGTTGGATGACATTTAAACGTAAAATTCCAGTATTTCAAGAAATCACAAACACCTCGAGTATTTTGTGTTTTTGTTGTCACTATTTTTGTACGAGTTGCTGGGCAGACGAGTTCACGCCGCACTTTGGGATTAAATAGTTAACAAAGCACATAGAAACCATAAACTGAATACCGTCACTAACATAATATTTAACTTTCTTCAACCCTAACAAATGTTTTGCGGCAGATAGGTAGGATTTATATGATACATTTTTAAGCGATATAATTCTTTCACCGCGGAAGTCGCCAGAGGAACACTTTACTTTACCTGCTGAAATTTTTGAGTGTTTGGCAATTTAATGCTTGGAATTTCTACATAACAGAATATCGTCTTGCTCTTAAAAAAAATTGCACAGCACGTATAGAATAGAATACTTTTGAGTTTTTTTATTCAGCTAAGACTGCCAAATACCATCTAATTACTATTTTAGGTGAATCCAGAGGTTCGGGTAATCATAATGCATCACATGACCTGTAATGGTCTTTAGGCAAGTAGAAAAATATTGAAAACAGAGAAAAGTATTAGTGAGTGAACATTCTAGAAAAACTACACACGGCTCCATAAGCGAGGGGGCGGCCCTTCGGCGTAGGGATTATAGTGCGTAAGTAGCCCAAAAAAATAATCGCGTCTAGAATAATAACTAATTTAATTCATAGAATTGCTTCTAATTACGTACCTATACCCAAATTTGCATGCATCCCATCTTTAAATTCTAAAGCAGCTCTTCTTATGATCTTTTCTCTCAGAGAATCAGTCGATTTTGATGTTTGATTTGGTTTTCTTGTAGTTTTTCTTTCTATTCTCTTTTCAAAATTATCTTCCTTTATGATTCTGTGCACATATATTGAGGGTACATGAACAAAATCTGGATCAATTTCATCAATAATTTCCTCCACTTCGGCTATAGTTACGCGAGCAGCCCTGCACATAGCTGGATTAAAGTTCCTGGCACTTTTCCTGAATATTAGATTACCATGTTTATCAGCTTTCCAAGCCTTAACAAAAGCAAAATCGCCAGTAATTGCTTCTTCCATTACGTAATTATTACCATTAAACTGCTGTACAAAACGAGCAGAGCTAGGAATATCTATCTGAAATGATATCAGATAATTATGCACAAATGACATTAAAATATGTAGTTGACCTTTTGAAGATTTGACTTTATTCGTTTTTATCTCATCGAAATGTACATATTATTTAATAGATGAAATATATGTTGGCAACGTCACTATTTGGCTAACTAAGATTAGTTAAAGTTAACTGTTTCCTTAAGGTTAAGCATGTAAACAACTGTTTCAGACGGTATTCAAGAAAATTCATGTCTAAGCTACCCCCACTATTCTACTATAAATACGAGTGACTATTGTCGCACAAAACACGTCATTTCGAATCCTCTCGATCCACTAACGGTGCTTTTAGGTAACTCAATTTTACTGGTGGTAGGACCTCTTGTGAGTCCGCGCGGGTAGATACCACCGCCCCGCCTATTTCTGCCGTGAAGCAGTAATGCGTTTCGGTTTGAAGGGTGGGGCAGCCGTTGTAACTATACTTGAGACCTTAGAACTTATATCTCAAGGTGGGTGGCGCATTTACGTTGTGGATGTCTATGGGCTCCAGTAACCACTTAACACCAGGTGAGCTGTGAGCTCGTCCACCCATCTAAACAATAAAAAAAAAACAAAAAAAACAAGCACCGGAAGGGTTCAGTGAGTAAATTAACCCACATTAAGACACAGCCCACTGAGTTTCTCAGTGAGTCGCGTTTCCGATACGGTGGTAGATTCTGCGAAGCACTGCTCTTGATAGCGCTATTGTTAGCAACATCGTCAGGTTAGGACCCCGTGAGCTCATCTACTATTTCTGTGAAGCTAGTATAACCCGTTTTTTTTTCGGGCTGGGGCCGAACCTCCAACGAGGTTACCGCGCGTAGGGGGCGCGCGGGGTATGTGGGACTGTGCCGCGACTGCGATACCGCGGGCCCAAGGAGGTTTTCAGGGCCCTACCCACTAAACTTCTTCCCTGCACCCTTCGCCCAAACGTCCGATCTCCTCCAAGGTCAAAACCCGGATGAGGTAAGCGGGTACCGCGGTCAACACTACAACCAGACGGCGCAGCTCACCCTAAGGACGCCCGGCCGACGGAGCCTTCGAGGCGAATCGAAGGCTCTAAAGCGACGGCTGTCTCGGTATGGCAACCTGTCAGGCTGCCCAGACGGTGCCGCTGGTTTTTCAGAATACCCCGCTGGACCAGAAGCAGCTTGCCGGGTCGGGACGCGATACACAGCCAATCGGTTGCTCTTTTTATCGTGAAGATATTTCTCCTCAGCAACACGCTAGTGCTCGACCCCTGCAGGTCGCCCCTTGACCTTCACCGGGGGGAAGCCACCACCTAGAGGGGCCGGCATGTGCGAGCATAATCTCTTCTCCGGCCCCCGGCCTAGTATAATCCCTGGACGTTACTTTTTTTAAAAACATATTCTGGTTTAAAAAAAAACGCTAAAAACATTCCGTCTCTAACAGTCGAACGGAGCGAAGCTCTCTGTTGTTATCTTTGTACACTTGAAATGTATATTAACAAATGGAATTCATTGGAAAAGTGAGTCTTAACTACTGTCACTATGGAAGGCAATAATAATGATGAAGAGAATGGCGTCAGCGATGCCGACGTCATCAATTTAGAAACACCGTGGAACCGTCCTAATCCATTATGTATATTATTGTACATTATTATACTAGTTTTACTTTGTACCTTTCCATCCTTGGTATATTTAATTGGTGACCCGCCTTCCTGAATTAAAGTACCAAATCCAGTAGGTGTGAAAAAGGCAGGAATACCTGCACCTCCTGCACGTATTCTTTCTGCCAGTGTACCCTGCGGTGTCAATTCTACCTAAAATTACAGATATTTTTACCTTCTTAGTTATTCTTTTAAAAAGTTGAACATATTAATAAATTAGATCATAATAATGTTGCCGTTTACTATATATTAAACCTGTAATAAATCTATATGTATGTATTTTTATATTAGAAATTATATTAATTTATATATACAGTCAAAACTGTTTACTGCGACATCGTTTAATACAACATGCCGGTTATAATAACCAAGAACAAAGGTCCCGGCTGAATGCCATATGACCGCCTTATTAAAAATATTTCTTTCTACGACATTGGTAATAACGACATACCTCATAAAACGACCACATTTAACTAGTATTTCGGAGAATTAGATCTGTTAGAACGACCGGCTAAGCTGTATTGTAAACAATTTGAATAGGCATCCACATTTTTCTTCAATGGCTTTTAAAATCAGGAAAGAAAACAATAGGATTTAGTTTAGTGTAGGGTCTTTTCTAATTCTTAGAAACAAAACACGTGCATGCGGTAGTCAAAGCCCGCTTCTTCATATCTCTTCAGTTAGTTTGTTACTTATCTATACACAAGACACACCAAAACTTTGTGGAGTTATTCGTGAAACTTTCAGAATGTCGCAAAGAAAAAGAAAACAAATTAATATTGAAGAAAAATCGCGTATTATATAAATATATTTTTCCAATAATTCCCTACCGATTTGTTCGTACTTGCACGATAGACATTAAAGATCACCGGTTGTTACGACTATCGGTTTTTACGACTGAATATGAGCAGTCCCTTCGATGTCGTTATAACAGATTTTGACTGTATATATATATATATACTATTATGAACCTATCTAAATAACTTATTGTAGTTCGTGGGGATCCGCTGGATGCAAGCAGCACAGGACCGACCTTTGTGGCGAGGCTTGGGGGAGACCTATGTCCAACAGTGGACATCTGTGGGCTGATAGAATAGAACCTATCTGGTTTGGTAGATAGTGATAATTGCAGTCTATGGACAACTGCAATGCTAAATATACAATATATTCAATGAATATTAAAATTGAAGTAAAATATTTTTGTTCTTATTTTTTGTAAGTGAAACTAATCGAATTTAAGTTTTGAGTTAGTCTTAAGTACTGATGATAGGGTAGGATACAAGCAGGCACATAAAGATAGTAACCATTATTATTATTGTATTGATGCAGCAGAGACCTCTATTAGCTCTCAATGGGCCACGAATAATATTTAACTCTCATTATGCACACCTAGGATATTTTAAAATAAAACTATTTAGGCATTAGTTAAAAATGAAGGACTTTTTTGCACTTATTCCTATATTATAATCATGGTGGTAAATACCTCTAATTCTCCACTTAAAAATTGTCTTTCAAATTCCGCATTTTCTCCAACATACGAGGAGATCATCCTTTTTATCTGTTTACTTTTAAGAAGAATACCCAAGCCAAAATCTTCAACACCTGTTGAATTATTAAATTTCTTTTGAAATTATTATTTAAATTATTTCTTAATTTCTCTCATCCATGAATCCATCCCTTTGATACATCCATGAAAAGCAACTAAACAAGTCTATTTTACAAATATATTAATTTGAAGTACATATATTTTATTAACATGCATAATTTACATTTCATTATATAGCTTTTCTTTTGATCAAAGAAGTGAGGAATTTTGCAGCTTCCATTCAAATTTGTGTGGGTAATATCAGATTGACTTACTAAATAACAATAATAATGCACTTATCTGTAGATAAAAGGTCCACATGTCACTTGTGATTTTGTTATCTATTATATTATTATTACAGTTAAAAATGTACTAACTGTAGCATATTCTGCACTATAATTAGAAAATAATTTTAAAACAAACATTACTTTATTATTTCTAATACCAGGAACGTAATTTTGGGGCAATAAAGGAACAGCTACTTCTGGATTTTCGTATTGTTTTAAATTTCTATGGCTAAGAATCAAGACTGCCTAAATATGACTGAGTGGTAACCGCTGCCAATGGATACCAGTCAAAAATTATTGAATTTGCTTTCAAGTATATATTTATACTACTTACCAGCATTGTTAGATACCACTGTCAGAGCTGATACTTTTTTCATATTGAGAGCTTTAATTAGATTTTCAGGAATTCCACAGAGTCCAAAACCACCAACCAATAACTTTGAACCATCTGATACATCTTGAACTGCTTCTTGAGCACTGGCATATATTTTGTTTTTACGAATAATTGTGGCATAAGTCGCACAACTTTTTATCTATAAGGAAGAATAATGTTTTAAATCAGTTTAATGCGTTTTACTATTAATTATTGCACAATAGCTAACTATTTACAATAAATACAATTTAAAATACACACGGACTCACCTTTCCAATGGAATTCACAAGCTTTGAATAATTGGCATCTAATAGTTTTCTTATAGTTAGAGTCATGATAAATTAAAGTGATACTGGAACTTCGCAATGACAACAAAATTAACTCCAAACGGTTCTGTTTCTTGACGAAGTCAAAGAACTTTTAGCTTAAACAAGAGAATTGCGTTCTATTATTAATAACTTCACATCAAAACAATTATTTGACTCCTAAAGTCTAGTGTCAAAACAGCTGATTCGGTGTGATACCTAATTGACGGAAAACTGAAATTTGTTATCAAATTTAATACAGTACATTAATATTATACATTCAAAATTAGCAAAGGATTAAATACATATTAATATGTATATGTAATTGTTTTAATATAGTAGGTACCTACCTAATACGCGAGTAAAACTACGCACCTGTTTTAAAATAATGTTTAAAAAATATGTTAACATTAACAAGAACAAAGATTCGTTTGTTTGTATTAAACTGATAATGTTCTGTGAGTCGGGCTGGAATATTATCTATCATGTCGTACCACGTGATACTTAGCGGTGACTTGCACCCCGCCGACTCAAGTCAAGGTCAACGGGGACATCACTACACACACCGGTTATTGGAAAAGAAAACTTGTTTAAATTATTTACAAAATTATGGATTTCTTTTAATTTTTTTACGGTAGACCAGCAAACGTCCTGGCGACTTGTACTTTGCTTAGCATTTATATAATATCTCTATGCCGTTAGAATAATTTTTAACCTACCATGCGCGCTTATAACATACGCTACCTACCTCTTCAGATACTAGATATTTATTCAAATCAAGAAATAAGAGAATTAGCTTAGCTTTAAATAATGAACAGGTTTGCGACCCACAACATATACAGATCTGTCTAGCAAATCTCCGTATTTTGGTCGTTTTGATGGTTTCCAGAGGCTCCATTACTAAATAATAATAAAAATTAATGTGGTTCCACAGGCCCCGGAGAGCGCCACCTGTCGATGCCAATATCGTGGTTGGAGGCGTCCGTATTGTGGTCGGGGTGCATTTGAAGTACCTCGGCCTCATTCTGGACAGTCGTTGTTCTTCCGTGCTCACTTTCAGAACCTGGTCCCTCATTTGTTGGGGGTGGCCAACGCGTTAAGCCGGATTCTGCCCAACGTCGGGGGTCCTGATCAGGTGACGCGCCGTCTCTATACAGGGGTGGTGCGATCAATGGCCCTATACGGGGTACCCGTGCGGGACCAGTCCGCAACGCACCATCCCGGTCAGGATCATCCGTGGTTATCGCACCATCTCCTTCGAGGCGGCGTGTGTACTGGCTGGCTGGGACGCCGTCTTGGGTCCTGGAGGTGGAGGCGCTGCTGCTGACTCTCAGTGGCGAACTGACCTTCGTGCCCGGGGCGTGGCGCATCCCAGCCCCAGTGTTGTCGGAGCGTGGAGGGCCCAATCTCGTCGGACGTGCTGAAGTCATGGTCCAGGCGGCTGGCCGATCCTTCGGCTAGTCGTAGGACCGTCGAAGCAGTTCGCCCAATCCTTGTGGATTAGGTGAATAGTGACAGAGGACGCCTCACTTTCCGGCTCACGCAGGTGGTCACTGGGCATGGTTGCTTCGGTGAGTTCCTGCACCGGATCGGAGCCGACCCGACGGCGGAGTGCCACCAGTGTTGTTGAGACTTGAACACGGTGGAGCATACGCTCGTCGTCTGCCTCACATGGAAGGGGTGGCGCCGTGACCTTGTCACAAAAATAGGATACGACTTGTCGTTGTCAACAGTTGTGACGCTCGGCAGCGACGAGTCATGGAAGTTGATGCTCGACTTTTGCGTGTGCACCATCTCGCAGAAGGAGGCGGCAGGGCGCATGAGACACGCATGGGTAGGTGAGCTCACGGGGCTCCACTTGAACTTGACATAATTTGCTAACGCTAGCCTTAGTAAGAGTAGTGTGTACCTGAATTTACCATCAGATCGGAATCGCGACCGACTGAGTGGATCCGGGGAAGCCTTAATGGGTTGAAGATCGGTTGGGAGAACGATGACCCATGCTTGGAGGATCTAAAATCACCGAGAGTGAATCGAAAGGATCCGATAGGAAATGTTTTGGGCGACGGCGGTTTTGCGTTGCCTTATCGCCTGGGTCGAATGTATAGAGGCGGCCAAGAGGGTTATCGTGTCGCACTGCTTTGTCGAAGAAATCTTGTCTAGTCGCTGCACAAGTTTATACAGGAAATTTCACAAACGTTATAATTAAGCTGAAAACTTTAGATAGGTAGTGTTTTATTTAAACGATTCGATGAAATAAAAATGTTCCCAATTAAATAGTTTCGGAATATAGAGTACTTGAACATAACGAACAAACTATTTTTCAGTCAGTCCTTGAATTCTGTTGTATCTAAAGTACCGTAATATGATTTGTAGTAAAAAAGAAGGCTGCCTTTTTTAATAGGCTTTTATTAGCTTCAGACGTATGTATGTATGTTTGTAACGGAATCTTTGAACATGATTTTGACCCCCTTCAAAATGTCGGATTAACTTAAATTAACGGAAATTTTGTATATTTATTCAGGGTTGCCAGATGTGGCGATTTCTCGCCATTGTGGCTCCTAAATAGCTAATCAGGCGATATAATCTTATCGTTTGGCTACTGATAACCAAATTGGCTATTTTCGTTTTTATAGATTGGTTCTTTGAATATTTAATATTTAAGTATGCTCTGTATATCAAAAAAACTATTAATTTCAGTAAAAAAATAATTCTTTTTCCCGCCACTTGACAGCGCTGCAGTAACTATTTATGACACTAAAATATGCAGTGAAAGAGTGCGCATGTATGTCTTACTAAGCATGTATTATATATTTAATATTGATTAATTATAAAAGTGTTGTTTATTTTTGAACTTTTTTAAATAAAAGAAATACATTAAAATGTTGTTATTATTTAAATAATCTTTATTTTTGTTGATCGTTTGAATAATACTAATAATAATTCTATTTCAAAAGTAAAATCTATGAATAAATAAATATATTTAAATCCTAAATTGTTATTAAAAATTTACAAATAAAGTTATTATAAATATTATTAAAATTTTAAATAAAAGATAAAAAAAATATTGTACACGTATATTTCATTTATATATTGGCGCTTACTTGAAGTACTACTAGCGCCACATTACGGTCATAAGAAACCTTATTAACTCCATGTAAGAAACACAGCGCCGTAACTTGGCTACTTCGGAAAAAAATATCTGGCTACCCTGTGCTTACTATGACAATTCAATATTAACAAAAATTTTTAAATCAAAAATTTTGAAAAAATTGAAATTCGACTAAAAAATTAAAAACAAATAATAGTTTAAAAAAACTAACAAAATACGCTTTTATAGAAAATCCAACCAAAATATAGAAAAGAAATTTGAATTTATTTTCTAGAAAAAAATATTTTATTGTAAAAAAGCGTGGGGTGCTTTTCAGGACATTATCAAAATATTAATTATATTGATACCATGCACCCCACGCCTTTTCTGCAATAAAATCATTCTTTCTTACACTATTTCTAATTCAAATTTTTTAAAATTTATTTTCTATTTTTTAGTTGGATTTTCTATAAAAGCGTATTTTGTTAGTTTTTTTTAAACTATTATTTATTTATTAGCTTAGTAGGGTGGATGGTGGATAAGATGAAGATGCAAACCTTTGTATTGTATACCTAAAGGGGAAAAAAGCACAAGCTGCGCTGCAAACTTTTTTTCCTACCTATGCTGATAGTCTTGAGAGGCTATTTCATCTTCACCCTAACGTGTAGGTGAGCTCACGGGGCTCAAACCGAAAGCGTTGCTAACACTGGCCCTAGCAAGAGCAGTGCTTCGCAGAATCTACCACCGGATCGAAACGCGAACCACTGAGAAGATCCAGCGAGAAACTCAGCGGGTTGATGCATGGGTTAGGTTGCATGTAAAACTCTTTGCCGAGTTCGACGAGTACCTACGGTTACCGGAGTCCCTAAGTCTGCTATTAGTGTTAGAGCTGAAGGTGTCAACAATTACTGCATGTAGGCTTTCAATGTATCTGACTGCAAGCAACATCCGATAAACAAAAAACGACAAATAGACTCATCTCTTATTGTGTTAAATTAGACATTCAAACTTCAATTTTGTTTATATCCAACAAAAAGCTTGAAGCAGTTATTAACTATTATATTTCATAATAATTCGTAAAAACGAGTATATAGCATATTCAATTATGAATCGCTCGAGATGATTACCTATGCAGTTTTTGAGTTAAAGTGCTCTGAGTTGTTTACTGGTGGTAGGACCTTTTGTGAGTCCGCGCGGGTAGGTACCACCGCCCTGCCTATTTCTGCCGTGAAGTAGTAATGCGTTTCAGTTTGAAGAGTAGGGCAGCCGTTGTAACTATACTGAGATCTTAGAACTTATATCTCAAGACGGGTGGCGCATTTACGTTGTAGATGTCTATGGGCTCCAATAACCACTTAACACCAGGTGGGCTGTGAGCTCGTCCACACATCTAAGCAAAAAAAAAAGAGATAGTCCCTTAATCTTCTTTTTACCATCGCACCACCCGCTACCGGACAGAGTTCATCCACACTATCCGGAGCCACTGCGCTTATCAGGACGTTTCCAGAGATATTTTTGCCATGTACAATCCGGCTTTGGAATGAACGTTACTCATTAATCATATTTACGTTATTTCGCAAGCACATAGTGCTCATAGAGTTGTCCTTCTTCAAAAGAGGAGAGTCCACAGCAGTAGGCAACGACTTGGTTGTACCTTGCTAATGTCTGTGATATACAGGGTTACAGGAACTACTCACCATCAAGTAGGCAATATGCTTGTCTGCCTAAAGAGGCAATAAAAATAACATCACATCCATAATTCAAACATCTATGTCTGTAGAGAAAAATGATCTATACGTAAGTACATTTCTTACCCATTATATTGGTTAGCAAAAAAATATAATAAATTTGACTTATTTCTAGAGGTTTTTTTTATTTAATAAAAAATTAAATCGATTTTCTTAATATTTTTTAACAGGTCTAAACCGAACATTATGACATTGTCTCGCCTGACATACAGGCCTTAGACATGAATTGTAACAATCAAATTTTTTTATTTAGATAAATTAGCTAAATTTTCGGACACAATAAGTTACATACTTTTTCTCTGTAAGCAGTTTATGACTTGATAATTTGATGAAATTCCTATATTTTAAAGAGTCATCATTAAGGAGGTTTTTCACCAGTGGCCATTAACAACTGCAAGGTCCAAAGGTCCAATGGTTCTTCTTAATGCAAAATGGCTATGGATTTACCTCAGAGATCTCATTGCCCGCTTCGACTATGGTTCCTCCCAAGTGGTTGTAGCATGGAAAAAAATCTCAGCAAACATTCTTATTACCACGTTTAGTATTGTTAAAATATGTTCTGTGTAATTACTCAACAATATAGCTAGCTTATGTTACTACAGTTTTTATAGAAAATACTATATTAAAGTAGATTCAACTTTATTTCACATAGGTGACTTACAGTCTAATGACTCGAGTAAAGACACATTAGGTGCAAAAATATGAACATCTACTTGTTAAAAACATCATCAATCTCTCTAGAACTCAAATCCATCTTAAAACACACAAATTTATAATTACTTACTACATTGCAAGTACAATTAAAAATTTATAAAACGCAGTATGTTTATTGTAATATATTTAAATAGCACCTATAAATGCTCTTAGTAAAAATAGTGTTGGTATAGACTATAGGCTAATTATTATCATCAATCATAGGTACACAAACACTGCACACCTACTACAGAGACATGCGAATGTCAGCGCGTCCTTATAATAAATAAAAAACATTCGTTAATAGCTGGATATTATCAGTTAGATATAAAATAATTCATTAGGCAAAGATAATGATGATGAAACCTGTTGTGTGTAGTATTATATCCGAAATAATGATAAACACAAAAATATAGAGATATCGATAATTGTTTAAAATTACACTTTTGTTAATTTAAAGATCGTATCGAAAAGCGTTCGTCAATTTAGTAATAATGAAATATATTCTTCCTAAATTATCATTTTATCACAATCACGATTGTACTATAGGTACACGTTTCAATTTGATCTAAATACCTACATAATTAATTCACAATAAGTGCACTTGCGTAAATTTAATCTGAGTCTTTGTGTTCTAACTGAGTCTTCCAGATCTAGCATCAGTTATAACTCCCCATAGTTCAATGATAAATTCATCTGTAAAACCAAATTCTTGAAGATCGCTGTTATCGATAGCCTCTGCGAGTTCCATAGAATTTTGTTTTCCTTCGGCAAGATCCCACATTTGCGATGCCAATTCACTATCATTGATACCCATAAATGATTCCAGTAGACCGTTGATTTTTTCAATTCCAGCCTTTGATTTATCATCGTGCTGAAAAAATAATAATTTTGATTTTACTATCGACTGAATTATTTACTATATTTAGCAAAGATTTTGTAAATGTGTTTGTAATGTCGAATAGCAGCCTCGACACAGAATACAACTTCCTGTAGGTGTCATAAATGCGACTAAGGGATTCCCCAGAGTATGTACAGCAACGATTTGTAAGTATTAAATTGATATAACGAACGCCGGTACGTACTAAGTAAATAAAAATAATGCGGAAAAATGCAACACGTAATAACTTTGCTGTCATCAGAGATTACTCATACATCCTCACCATAAATTTACAATAAGTTACGTCGTATAAAAAACGGTGGTAGGGAGTATTATACACGCGCACTGATAGGTACCACCGTATAAGTTATTTCTACTGCGAAGCAGCTATGCAGCTAAAGAAGGGGGCAGTGGTCATTCAATATAACTAGACTTATCATGTTTTGATGAATTAAAGTAGGTAGAGGCATTCAAATTGTGATGTCTAAGAGTTCCAACCAAGTGGGCTGACGTTTAGTTAACCCAACTATACAATAAGTAATTAAAATGTTAAATCAATAACAGACTCTCGTTTCAACAGAGCTTTTTGTAGGTAGGTTGTAGGTTTCAAATTCCAAACGGTTATAACTTTTTTCTAGGTATTCTCCTCCTTCCACGTGAAGTATTTTAGTGAGTGCTCACACAGTTTAACATATAAAGAAAATGAGAAAAAACATAAAAAATGTCATACCTCATTTTCTATTGTTGCTTGGCCATTCGCTTTAAAACGTAGAGTTTCTTTTCCTGAGCCAAAGTTTTGTTTTTTTCCTGACCTCCCACTACCGGTTTTAGGGCCGATGCTACCGAATCCGCTCTTCAATGGTTCCACCAATCGCATTATAAAAGTAGTTCCCTTCGGTATGTCTTTCAGAATTTTTGCCACCTCATAATGTCTTTTCCCAACCATATTCTCACCATTCAATTTCTCAATATGATCTCCGACCTGAATTAAAACGAGCAAGTTAACGCACTGTAATGAATTATTTCCGGTCGACTTGTGAATGAATCTGCTTTGAACGTTTGAATATCTTCACAATTATTTTTGCGTTTTCCATAACGCGGTGAACAAATATTAATCTTAATTTTTTTTTTTTATAAAGAATAGAAAAATGAAACCGTAATTAAATTGTTAATTCCAATATACCGTGAAGTCCTGTAAGACTTCGTTCGGCAGTGTATTACGAAAAAAATATATGGTATAAGAGGTATCTATAATCTTTAACTTCGCTCTAACACTCTGACCAGTAGCAACAAGATAAAAAAAATGAAATTAATTGTTAGTTCGGTTTGCTGTTTAAGCGAGTTCTTTAATTTCAATTGTTTGCAAGGGTTTGTTTTTTTACTTAACAACCCTAACGATGTCAAAACGATTTGTAACAGAGATAATTGATCGGCTATCTCTGAAAGGTATCTTTGATCAAGAAAGTTTGATTTCTCACTTTAGCGTCTGAATGAAGGTTAAAAATTTAATTAATTAAAGAAGATGAACATAACTCTGATATAAACGATGATATAAATATGACTAATTTAACAACACATTTCATACATAGTAACTTAAATTTATTAAAGACACTAATCTTAAATCAAATTTACGAACGATTGTTCACGAACAACTTACAACAAGAAAGTAATCGTATGAATTTGAAAACCTACTAGCAGTATGGCATATTTTGAACTCTCACTAATGCCAAAAGTATATACAATCACGATCATGCCAATTTATGCCCTGAACCAATCAATCATTTGGACTTTGATGGAAAGACTACCGCTATTACTGAGATTTTGATCTGGAGGTGGGCGAAGTCTTTCACATTGTGGTGTTTATCAGCTCAGAAAACTAGGTAATAAGATGTGTGCTTAGGGCGATTTTTTTAACGTTCTCCATAGCGTCCCTAGCGGCAAACGTAGGCAAACGTTCAGACTCCTTACTTTTTTACTGGTGGTAGTACTTCTTGTGAGTCCGCACGGGTAGATACTACTACCCGGCCTATTTCTGCCGTGAAGCAGTAATGTGTTTCGGTTTGAAGGGTCCCCACCCTTGTCGTTGTAACTATACTTTAGAGACCTTAGAACTCATATCTCAAGGTGGGTGGCCGCATTTTCGTTTTAGATGTTTATGGGCTCTGATAATCACTTAACACCAGGTGGGCTGTGAGTTCGTCCACATATCTATGCAATAGAAAAATTGAAAAAAAATTGAGTTTACTTTTACGCTATCGGGAACGTTAAAAAACTCCCACTAAGCACACTGATCGGCCATGAGAACATCTGTCCATCTACAACAATAAACATTTACCTCAATATGTGGTATTCTTGAAACAATGGAGCCTTCTTTAATCCTTTTTATAAATGCATAACCTGCTCCGTTATCTGTAATCGTTAATCCTAGAGCATCTTCTGTTTTAACTATTTCTATTTCCTTTGGTCGACCTTTTCTATGCGCGAAAATAAAGTCTTCTAATCCTATTTGCCCTCCGAGAAGTTTTTTCATATCCACTTTGTGAGTATTTAAAGTACAGAAAAGAATCTGAAACAAATATCCATAGATTTATCAAATTAGTTGTTGTAGAAACTAAGAATACTCTATAAGTACTTATGATACTAAATATTTCAAAAAACACATGCGTGATATTTCACATGCGCATGTATTTAATGTACTTATGCTATATACTGTAATGCATTTGTGATTGATTTATGTTGTGCCTATATTGTATTACCTAATTTTTTTCGGTAACATGATTTTATTATAATTTAATGTAATGAAACTTCCGTAGTTCTAGAGAGATAAAACATCATTAACCACGCCTCTCAAGTTTAGCGCGTGACTCGAGAATATTAATTTTCTTTTTAATCATCGTTACCTACTAATTTCGAATGATAAGCGTCATTCATAAATAAAATGGTTGGCTATTATAGAACTATTCATTCATTACAATAATATTTAATCATTTAATCTATAAGACAAAAATCTTCCCATTAACGCGAACAACAATCGACCAAATACTGAAGAGTTTTCCGGAAAGAAATACAAGCTTAGTATTTTTTTCAAATTCCGCGATTCATAGACATGATTAAAATTGCTTTTACGCCTTAATCTCGCGTTAAACTGTAAAGTGTTAGAAACGACAGAAATAATATCGCATCCTTCGATCAACAATTGTAACTATACTGTAATAACTATACTATTGTTGATCGAAGATCGCATCATTAAAATTGAGATTGCTTAACATTTTAAGAAAATCAGCTTTATACTTCAAACCTCCTACGAACATGTGTTTTATGAGTTTATTACACTAGATCTAATGACAAATTATTATTATGTTTGCGCAAAACAGAAGCCGTATCATGACAACTTCATGGTAGGCAGCGACTTGGCTGTGCCCCAGGTATTGCTGACGTCCATGATCGACGGTAACCACTTACCATTAGGTGGGCCGTATGCTAGTCTGCCTGCAAAAGCAAAAAAAAAACTCACAACTTTTCATTCGTGGTAGTAGCATGTATGTGAGAATACATAGTTGTGAGATGTGAACTAAAATGATTACATAATAATGTAAATGCAATAATATTATAGTTACACTAGTTACTTCTGCACACAGTTTCTCCTAAGATCTATCCAGCCTTAAAACATGTAAACATACGATAATTTTTTTGATGAGTAAAACCGTTTTGGACAAAATCTTTATGATTTATATATATATACCTACTCTAATCTTCCTTGTTTATCCTCATTTCTATTAATGAAAACTGTATGAGAAAGAGTTGCGTGATTTAGAAGAAATAGACGAAGAAAAAGATAGGCAGACAGTGACTTTTTTATTACTATTTAAAGATCTATTTTACATGTTTTGCTTTATTATGTCACGTTAGGATGTAGGTATGTGCAATCAATATTTAGTAGGTTTTTCGATAAAATTATATATGTAAGGTTTTTTAAATGATTAAATAGATAATTAAATGGATGCATGGACTTAGGTATAACTATTTGAGAACTCGTAAGAACTATAAACAATTTTGCTAAGGAAACAGTTTTAAATTGGTGCGGCTTGGAGGTACATATCACAAAGAAAGGTTACAGGCGGGCGCATCACGATGCTCAGCAATGAGCGATCGATTGATGGAGGAGGAGAAGGAGGTCCATGTAATAGTTTAGTGTGCCTTCGGTTTTTAAGTACTTTAGTACCTATATCGAGTGGTGAAAGTCTATTTGGTTTAAGAGACATTTATGCAAGTTTACAGGATAACCATTTAAAGTTTTAAATTTGGAATAAATATCATAACAAAAAACGTCTTCCGCTATTTGAACGGAGTAAACTTAATTGATATTCAATTAAAAACATCGAACTGTTGCTGCGAATACCAAATAGAACGCATCTTTAATTATAAAGATAAAGCGAAATGTCACTTAAATCAAATACCCTTTCACACCTCGATATGATGGAGAAGATCTGTGCGGTCTATATGACTTGACATAATGTTATACAAAAACTCTATACTAGACATTCTGTAAAGGCGACTAAGGGACTCATCAGGGAATAGGCAGCGGCGTTCACTGAATATTCTACCAACGTGCTGTAATTACCAACCGCCACTTACTGAGACGTATACAACGGTAAGCCCGCACTTGTAGGTTCATTCTGGCTATTTTTGCCACAATGAAGCTATGCGTTCCGATTTGATGGGTGGAATAAAATCGAGACCTCATGTCTCAGGGTGGAGATATTGGTTTCCTGACTTCTTCTTTAAAGTTTTCCTCCAAGCGGGCCGTGAGTTTAATCACCCATCTAAGCAATAAAGCAACTTCATATTTCATGGAATTTAATATAATTTTTATATTATTTCAATTTAAATGACGTAATGGAAGGACCAAGTAGGATTAGCTTAATCTAAAGTGCAGTAACTGTTCAAAAAAATTCAAAAGAAACTTCAACGTATTTTGGATATTCATGGTCTATGTAGCTTTACTCTTTTTTTTTTCATGAACGAGTTCATTTGTCATTACTTTGTTAGAAGTTTGTATGAAGGATACATTAATGATCGATGTACGACGGTATATTCTAGGCGATGCGACGTCACAAGCGTTTAGTTATTAAAATTCGGAGACACTTAAATGGTGTTTAGTTGTAAGGTTAGTTTTTATATAGTGTACATAGTTTGTCTTCCAAAAAAATTAATAAAAAAAAACCGGCATCCTAGAACGAAGCTGCTGGAAACAGATACCTACTAAGCACACATTATGTTATACATATATTTACATCACTTACCTAATAATTATGGCGTTATTAGCTACTATTTTGAAAAGCATTCAAAACAAGGCAACTAATTATTTTAATTAACAATCGTACGATTCTTTTAATTGCGATAAAGGTAGATGAAATTATAGCTTCCAACTAATGCACAGTTGGGGGAAACGACAAGGGAAGATATTCCATAACGGGTATTCGCGCTCAACACACAGACGATCCAAATGTAGGAGCTCGGAACATGTACTGCATATTCAAACTTGCAAATGTCATTAACTTTAGTCGGATTTTTGTCAAATAACTTCTGTTCTGCAATCGCTACAGCTACATACAGACAAACCGCTGCTTGCTGCTTGAATAACAGTAAGCTCCCACAAAGATGGTAAAAGAAGGTGCTACGTGAAATCCGGCTTTGGATTGAACTCCCATCAGACTCAGTCAACTCACAGTATGATATTATCTTCAATCACGGTTTGTAAAGACATCTTAGCAATAAGTAAGAGCTTAGCTGCACCCTTCGTATTGCCGATAATTTTACATCTATATGTTTCACTGAACTTTTGTTCGGTTTTAACTTGATATGCAGGTATGTGTGGTCAAGTGCGATTTCTCAACGTGTACGTGTACAGTTCATGCGGTCCTTGACCCACGTGGAGTAGGTCAACGCACAGGCATATGTATACGCCGGCGAAGCGTATCTGCAGTCATTCCATCACTTGCCGTGTTCGTTTGTATGACACGAGAGCGAGACTGCGCCCCTGGGACGGACGATCCACTTCCTGGCTCGGCCATGCGTAGTTCCGCACAAAATGACACTTTCAACTTAGTGTCATAGAACAGATTTAGGTAACAACTAGTGGTCCCGCAGTAGTCGAAAATCGACTATAATTAATTGAAATTATAGATTTGAACATTGTTAAGGTTCTATTGTCCTAGACAATAATGTTTCTTTGTTAATTTAATGTATTATTAATGTATAATTAAAAATATATGTATAATTCTGCACTCCTTCTCTATAAGTGTGAGAAATTTCATACTCCTCCGTCCGCGCAATTTTCGCAAAAACGGGTACAAAGTTTTTGCTTCACGTACTAATATATAGATAATATATTTATTCATCATAGAAACACAACAAAAATAGATATGGTTCTAAGGATCAACAGTATTCGAAAGCATATGAGAATGAGTACGATCCGAAATCGAGTCGAACGAAGACGCGAGCAACAATTAATCTTTGATAATATAATCAACTATTAATTTAAGTGCTCGTAAGTTAAACATAAAACGTTTCGGTAATGTTCAAGTTCATACGAATCAAATCAGTTTGCAGCAATCTTCAGCAATCATGTTGAAAAGAAGTTGCCTGAATCCTATTAACAAAATTCTCACCATAAAACCTTGGTCGTAAAGAAGCCTTGAATATTTTCACAAGGCGTAAAATATCAGGAAATTAGCGACCATGCTATTTTCGCCGCTGACCTTTACAGGCGATAAGTGAGCTATATGCAGACTTCGGGTATACTGGTTGTTTATCATGATAATTTCTGCTAGCATAGGTATGCTGTAGGTGGTACTAGGTATGTACCTATTACTGCTCGACATTTACGATGAAAGGAATGAGAGTTATTTTTGTTTCCATCTTAGACATTTATACTGCAAGCAAGTAACCCAACATTTGTTAAGTTATAGAAGTTTTACAATCGAATTTTTTTATTGAATTTGATTGGAATATCTTACGGTAAACTAAGTAGTCTTAGACACCATAAATCATAATGTGAATAGGTAACTAGCTAATAGATCAAAATTACACAATAACATTAGTTGATGACGCACCAACATTGTTAACGTAAAATATTTTCTTATCGCGGTTTACATTTTGTTACACTCATAGTTGGTTTCAGAAATACTATTGAATAATGAACCACTATTTTTATGTAAATTTATGGCAAACTGCGAGATATTAAGCTGTTCGTTTGCGCGTCTATTAGACCGGCATTTTTAAGGAAACATTTTAAATAATTTTAACAGATCTATTTCAAAAAGTACAAAAAAAAATACTAAAACCATAGCATTACATAACATTCCTCGTCGTTATTTGAATGCAAGCCGGGCGTGACGAAAATAGTTTATGGACTGCTCTAAAATAGGATTTTAATATTTATAGATTGTGTATAAAATATTATACTCTAAGGAGTACATCGTCTGAATTCCATTCCCCATTGGAAGCAGTATATTTACTAAATATATTTGGTATTCGGGACCTACGTTATTGCGTTTTTGTGTTCACGGACGCGGTGGGCTCATCTACAATGTGCTGTTTTGTACCTAACTCCAATTAAGTAACTGGTATTTAAATTTTCATTTATAAATAATAAGTTTACAAAACTTGGTTATTTATTCGATCGAGAACCACGCAAGAGCTACTGAAAAAAAATGTATTTTTTGTTTATAATGTTTCGCTTTGTTTAAGTGTGAAAATTCCATAAATATTCTGCTGAGCTGGTCGAAATATAAAACTCTTGTTTAAATTTTCTTGTTTCAATGAATTCATATAAAAAGGCTGACTTTTCATCAAATCTCAAAAATCAATTTAACATTAACTATATGTTAATATTACTTATAAATATAAATTATTATATATTTTGCTTCATTTTACCCTGTTTGCCGTTTTATATTACATAGTTACTTTTATAGTTCATTATCAGGAAGAGAGTGAAGTTAGCCATAATACCGCTCAAAATACTTACTATTCTATTCCAATGATTCTAATTCTATCACAAAAGATGAGTTAATAAATCAAATTAGGCCGAGACAACTTCCATACTCTTCCATGCGCTCTCGAGATCAGAAAGTCAAAATTAAATAAATTATAACTTTTATAATTTTTGTAGATACAAAAGCAAAAAAGTTTGTTGCAAAATCCGCATAAGGACAGAAACATTATACGCACACAGATAGGAAATACCTAACATTATTGTTTAATGTTCAAGGTCATCATTATAACCTTATTAGATCACAAAACAGACCAGACTAACATGGATTGATGAACTTGATATCGGCAGTAAAATCGTTAATAACACACTGGTAAAAAACCGTATGAACCGTAAGTATATATGTATGTGTATACCGAACATATAAGTATGAAGACGATGTATAGTCAATATTTAAGTATGTGAGAATACATTATCAGTACTTAGATCATCATTAACAGCAATAATAGTGGATTAGAGTAGAAAATACCCAGCAATTTTTCTACTCCACCTATAGTTTATTTTACGTAACAATATCATTAGGTATTAGTCATATCTGTAATAAGTAAATAGTAAGGCTTTGCGAAGAAACATGTTTTCCGTACAATGTGGCATACAGCAAGTACCATAAATTGTGTTAATTGTTGATTTAAGCATACATAATGATACGCCTACAAGTAAAACATCAATATTAGTTAATTGGATTATAACGATTATAAAGTTAAATTATGTTTAAGCATACATAATGATATAAACATAACAAAAAAATTGCCACGACTAATCAAATGACTGACATACGGTGTTTCCAATGAATTATGATACTTAAATCAAATTCAGGATAACCATAAATACCTACAAAACAAATAAGTAACTTACATCTTCGGGTGAAAATTCGTAACATTCTGCTATCTTCTCATATAATTCTTTGACGTTAGAGAAACCAGAGATGAGGCCCAATGGACTCCCGTGAGCTTGCTGACAGTGGAAGACCAGTTGTGACTTCTGCGTACCGTTGCTATTATCGACTCCATTAGACTGTGATTCAGTATCTTCTACTGGTGTGGGTGGTACCGGTGGCGGCGTGTATTTAGGCGCTTTCTTTTTAAATAACGACATAGTATAAGAACACTTTATAACGGCAGTATTTTTCTTTCAACAAAAACNCAATGGACTCCCGTGAGCTTGCTGACAGTGGAAGACCAGTTGTGACTTCTGCGTACCGTTGCTATTATCGACTCCATTAGACTGTGATTCAGTATCTTCTACTGGTGTGGGTGGTACCGGTGGCGGCGTGTATTTAGGCGCTTTCTTTTTAAATAACGACATAGTATAAGAACACTTTATAACGGCAGTATTTTTCTTTCAACAAAAACGACAGTCCGCGCACATTCTCTACCCATGTACCGTAAAATTTTAATCACCACAAGGCCGCTTATCTTGTGAAAACTTTAAAATATATCGCCGCGTCATAGCACAAGATAACTTATCGCCCAATGGCGATATTTGATGATTATATTGTGATGTTCAGTGAGACTGTACACATTGAATTCGACGACGCTACGCAAGTGTGGTTGCCCTGGCGGACGAATGGAAACTGTGTGAATTGTGAGTGAAATGACTGGCATTGACTGGCGCAGTGCAGTGAGCCTGATTACTCGGCCACGATAACATTCTTTCAAGAGCGGAGAGCACCACTAAGCTTAAAGCTAAATTACGAACACTGCCATTTGTTGATTTGACTCACTGAATTTAAAATTGCGACATTCATGCACTGGTATTTGAGTATTGTTCTAAATTAATACTAAAACGAAAGCGCAACGTGTTCAACCTGTTCCTCGTGTACAGCGTCATTACTGAATATTCGGAACGTCGCACTATTGTCAATTAAGTATACCCACTTAACAGCTAAAAGGAAATAGCTCTCTCTGTTTGTGCAACTGCGTCTCTTGTTGTAGAACAGCCACGACTATCCCCAACAAAAAATAACTTTGCGGAAAAGAAAATTATAGATTGGTATTAAATGGATTTTCGCATATTCATTTAGATATATTATTGCTATATTGATCGCATCCAATGTATTAATTAGACATTAATTACATTTTCTTTGCTCAGAATTTTCATGATATACTAACATATCTAGCTTTAACTTTATAAGAGAGTACAGACGTAGTCTTCCTGATGAATGGTGGGTGTAGCCGGTGAAGGTAAGTATCCAAAATGTTTATTTCAATAAATGTTATGAATCTATCTCTACACATAAATACAAAGTCGATATAAAAAGCCATGTCTATTAAGATGGCGAAGGATCCAGTTTAGAAAATGTTAAAACCAGAGCGAATTTTTTGAAGCTTGCTTCCTAGCTCTTATACTTTTTTTTTTATTGCCTTTGTAGGCAGACGAGCATACGGCCCACCTGATGGTGAGTGGTTACCGTCGCCCATGGACTTCAGCAATGCCAAGGGCAGAGCCAAGCCGCTGCCTACCGCTACCTACCGCCTACCTACTTACTTGAAACAAGAAGTTAGGTAAATACTAATTTATCTCACCTACCTACCTTTTCTTATTTCTTAGATAAGTGGACAAGCTCACGATCCACCTGGTCTTAAGTGGTTACTTGAGGCCAAAGACATCAAAAATGCCACAATCCATCTTGAGACATGAGTTCAAAGTGTCATTTTTATAGTTTAACGGCTGCCTCGCCCTTCAAACCGAAACGCATTACTGGATGTTTAAGCAGGATGTTACCCGTAAGGACTCATAAGACGCCTTACCACCAATAGGTATTCATGAATGATTTCCACGGTAAAACAACATCGTGTAATAAATAAAACCAGTACAATCTATTTTATGTATTGTAATGTTATGAATGTTATTAATGAAATGAATAAAATTCATGTAAATGAATGCTGACAGCCATTACTACAACACATATTCACCCGATACGACCCGGCTTCAACCCCGTTTCTGATGGGCAGATCGATTTTAACCCTCTGCAGTCGTATGCCTTTTTTTTGCTTAGATGGGTGGACGAGTTCACAGCCCACTTGGTGTTAAGTGGTTACTGGAGCCCATAGACACATATGACGTAAATACCCCACCCACCTTGAGATATAAGTTCTAGGTCTCAGTATAGTTACAACGGCTGCCCCGTCCTTCAAACCGCCTACTGTCAAACACCTAAATTTAAAAAGCCGTAACTACTTCGGCCGTAGGTATGTAAGCTATACCGTACGTAATGACTGTTTTTTTTTAAACGAGAACCAAATAGAGCTAAACACATTAAGAGGCTCGGCCTGTTCGGCCACTTAGAGAAAATGGCGAAGATTAACGAAAAAGGAAACTATAACAGTCGAATAACAGTAATGGGGAAATTTTTCCACTGATAGTGGCCAGTTCTGGTATCGAAGCCTAAGACACACTCCTATGGAGCCAGCGGAATAAGTTTAATTTATAGTTACTTGATATTTTCCAAAGGTATCATTGAATTACATGCTGTCAAGGACAAATTAATCACATGCCAATAAGGACTCAACTCTTGGTGCTTTTTAGCACTCCAAGCAGCGGTCACCGTTTTCGTCCAACTCTCCTAATACGACCAAAAGTTCGACATGCAACCTAACACATAGACACAAGCCACGGAGTTTTTCGCCAGACCTTCTGAGTTGCGATTCTGATTCGGTGGTAGATTTAACAAAGCACTGCTCTTGGTTGGGCTAGTGTTAGCAAATTAGCGGTAGGCAGCGGCTTGGAGCGGTAGGCAGCGGCTTGGAGCGGTAGGCAGCGGCTTGCAGCGGTAGGCAGCGGCTTGGCTCTGCCCCTGGCATTGCTGAAGTCCATGGGCGACGGTAACCACTCACCATCAGGTGGGCCGTATGCCCGTCTGCCTACAAAGGCAATAAAAAAAAAATAAAAAAAAAATCTTTCAGGTTGAATATCGTGAGCTCACCTACCAAACCGTGCGTAGCTAGCCAGGAAAGCCCCTCTTGGCTACCAGCGTTTAGGTGTGTTTAAAATAAATAGTTCCATATCTTATCTAGGTGAAGTCATATAATGCAAAAGCACCAAAAATTATGTAGTTTTATGATTAATTAAGGACGTATCTGTTAAAATAACTTTAATTACCTAATCATGTTATTAAAATTAGTAGGTACACTGGGAATAGGCAAAACTCTATTGTATTGTAAGGTCCTAATAAGTTCATGCAGATTCCATTATATTTAAAAAAACTGATAGGTATTGTAGCGGTTAATGTAAGTTATTAAGTTATATCTTTTAAACTATCGGATTTTATTCAATATTTTTAAGCGCAATATTTCTTTAGTTTTTCTTATGGCTTAGTCACCGTAATGCATTAAAGCGATTTCTAATATGTTTTAAATGAAGTCATAAAATAGTTTTTTTTTTTTTTATACTTAAATCTGTTGTGTATCTTGTCTAAATTACTTACATAAAAATTAAATAAGACTTTTTACTGAAAGGCAGTCATTCTTTGAGTGGGGGGGTCACAAGTCTTTACAGAACATTAATTTGTAATTAACTAAATATATTTGATACAATGTAAATGTGAAAGCCACCTTTCTCACATACTTTTTTTCGGGCCCGTGGCCGATCCTCCTTCGAGGTCCCCGCGCCCATGAGCCGCGGCGTGTATGTGGGACTGATCCGCGACTGTGAGACCGCGGGCCCAAGTATGTTTTCAGGACCCTACCGATTACAGGATTCCCCTGCACTCTTCACCCAGGCGTCCGATCCCTTCCGAAGTCAGAACCCGGATGCGGTAAGGGGGTTACCGCGGTCAACACTACAACCAGACGGCGCAACTCACCCCAAGGACGCCCGATCGACGGAGCATTCGAGGCAAATCGAAGGCTCTGAAACGACGGCCGTTTCGGTATGGTAGCCCGTCAGGCCGCTCAGACCGTGCCGCTGGTGTTCCGGAATACCCCGCTGGCCCAGAACCAGCTTTCTCACTTGACTTAGTAGTTTTTNAAGGGGGTTACCGCGGTCAACACTACAACCAGACGGCGCAACTCACCCCAAGGACGCCCGATCGACGGAGCATTCGAGGCAAATCGAAGGCTCTGAAACGACGGCCGTTTCGGTATGGTAGCCCGTCAGGCCGCTCAGACCGTGCCGCTGGTGTTCCGGAATACCCCGCTGGCCCAGAACCAGCTTTCTCACTTGACTTAGTAGTTTTTCCTTAACTATTCGATCTGTTATTTTTATTTATTTCTTACAGACTTGATGTTTAGACAGGCACATGCCCCACCGGGTTGGTACCTACCCGTACGGACTCATAAGACATCTTTCCACAAGTAATCAGGCAAATTATGATTTTGCGGGCTTAATTTTTATTAAACGATGTTATTCTTTAACCTTGAAAGTCAATCGTGAATATTTGTTAGGTACGTATTTCATTAGAAAAATTGGTACCCGCTTGCGGGATTCGCTCACCGTTGCATCGCTCGACGAATGCACCGGGCGTCTTATCCTTTAGGCCACGACGACTTCGAAACCAGTGAAAGGTCCCCAATTTTAAAACAATTATGCATACCTACTGAACCTAACTGAGTCTTAGTCACTATAGCATCCTGATGTAGGTATGCAATGCCATAGCCCAATTGTAATGGTAAGTTTTCCTGAAGTCATGAATACGCACCACCAGTCGTGAGGCCTGCTGAAGGAATACGATAGAAATATATTTATATACCTACTGGTACTGGTCACGCTCCTTATTTCTGATAAGCCACAATAATCCCTGCACTTCTTATTTTTGTAAAGGTGAGATGAAACTAAGCGGCCACATTTTGCTTTAAGCAACAACTTGGGTGTGCCCCTGGCCCCTGGCCTTCTCGATATGCATGACCGACGACGACCGCTTAACATCGAGTTGATCGATGTTTGTCTCCCCCCTCTATAGGCAATTAAAAACAATGCAACAAGTGATGACCTATTTATGTACTTTTTTGTCGCCCGTACTACATTCGCCATGACTAAGAATATTCATAATTGAGTTATTACAAGTGAGTCGTCTATTATCAAAGGTGGCAATCTGTGCATTTGGACAAAAAAAAATTATTGATATGTCAACACAGATTGATTTGAATATAATAGTCTCCTTCAAAGAATACGGTTCAAAACCTGCATTAAATAAAGGTTAATACTTAACCTGTTATTTATCTAAGATGTCGATCAGAAGAGTTTTGTGACTGCCAATGGAATACAAAGTCAATAATTCGTTTTTCTGATTTACCAATAATTGTCCAAAAGTCACATTGCCGGCTTTGATAATAGTCGACTCAAGTATTAGTTATATTTCTTATATACAATTATATTCATATTATTCTACTTCCATTTATTTATTTTATATAATCTATTAATTTATTTTAAGTCTTAAAAATATTAATCGTACACAGCACCTAGGTACCTTTTTTTTTCAGAATCCAGCGCCAGGTAGAAGCCTCTTAGTGTTGAGACCTTAGGTACTAAGTTTTGTTCAAGTTAGTAATGGTTTTTCTTTGTTTTATCCATTATAAACCATGCCGAAAATTAATACACTTTAAGAATTTGACAGTTGATCTATAGTTTTGATCTAAGTCCCAATATAGTTAGATCCATTAAATAACGACACAAATACCCGATTTGAAATTAAGGTAAAATGCCCATTTACTTTAAACTTTAAATGCAAACCTTGATCTAAACCATTAGACTAGAGCAG